AATATCGAACGAATTGACTACTTTAACTTTAAAAAGTACTTGAAGCGGAAATATATTGAAATATTTTCATCAGTGTTTTAGTACCAATCTTTAAACACCAGCGTATGATGGTTGATTTTGATAAGAAAAAAATTAGTTTCGAACAAAAGAAAAAAAATAATTCAGATTTGTTAGATTTATACACAGATAGCTTTCATCTGTTTTCCCTAGTAGAAGAGGGATTGCAATTTAACATACTTATGTATGTGTCACGTTAACTAGTTGATCAACTAGTTGACGAACATGAATCAACGTTAACGTTAAGTTGAAGAAAATACCTTCAACGACCCATCGCTAGATACCATCGCCCATGGACATTGGTAACACCCGTAGGGTTGTAGAATGTTGCCACCTTTTAATTACGTAAAATTGTAATTCATTATTAAGTATTTTCCTTCCACTGCCATTGTCTGCAAAAATTTCGCCATGACTGAATCTTTCTTTTGAACCCGCATATTACCATGACTTTATGTGAAGTGTCAGCTACAGCAAGAAACATTATAGAAAATGTGTATTTAAGTAGGTATATAAAAAGGGTTTTAACAAAAAAAAGAACCGTCATCAAAAAACTCTGTCAGTACTAAAAAGTTTCAGTTAATAGTACTACTAAATCTTATGTAATCAAATCTTGAAAATCTAACCAATATAACCTAACCTCAAACAAATTTAACAATTTTTGCAGTCGCTGCTAAGCCAAGTATCTCTGATCAGAGCATAAAATCATTCTCCTAACTTTGTTACATAATTTTGATGGAATAGATACATAATTAAATACATATAACTATCTTTTAACCTATTTACTAGTCAACCGCAGTATTGCTTAGATTCTTTCAATTTTTTTGCAAGGTGTTAAGGTGTACGAGCATTACCTACAAGTGAACAATGGCACCGACTCCAAAAATTTTAAGTTCGAAAAAAGGTCAAATAGGTTATAGTTAAATTTTTTCGAGGTTATTAGATTTTCAACATTTGACTAAATTAGATTTAGTATTGTTTATATTATTTTAAACTTCTTAGTGCTAACAGAGTTTTTTGAAGTCTGTTCTTTTTTTTTTAGTTATTTATCTTATTTATTTTAGTTATTATTTAGTTTTTAGTTAGTATTTAATTTTTATAGTTATTTATTTAATTTGAATACTTAGGTATTATAAAATATGAGTAGACCTAGCAAAGATAAGAGACCTGACCAGCGCTTGTGAAAAAAATTATCATATATGTTACATAGGTTACATGACGAAAATCAAGATAATTACAATAATCGTCTCAGTTTAATTCGCACTCGTTTGGCTTTTGACTTTGACTTTTGACTTATACATTTATTCACAAAGATTACCAATCGCTTTGGCGAATTGACAACCGCTTAACTTGAATCGCTTTGGGAACGTCAAAGAAAACTGTTGATTAGGAGATTTTGTTGATAGAGTTGCAGTTCAAATTTATCACACTGTCACACAAGTGTCGCTTACAATGTACATAATATGATAGCTGAGAACGCGAAAACAGCGTATTTATTTTGTAAATATGACGTTTTCGTATTCTCAGCTATACTGAATACATCTGCTTAACCTTTTCGAGTGTACGGATGCGATTTTCTGGCGTATAATTGCGCAAACCAATGAATATTTATGCGATAGCAGCAATTGCAGTTGATTTCCTGTTATCTTTTAAAGAGTTCTGTTGTCTGTATACGAAACTCATCATTAGATCTATATGAGATTTAAATGGGACCATTTCGGAATAAACCCCTTTCGAACAAAAAAATAATTTAGCAAAACTGTCTACAGCGTGTCGTTACGATCGCGACAATAAATGAACACACGTCTAAAGCTACTTGCCAATAATCATAAAAAATATTAACGTTAAACAAAATCCATAATTAAAAAAAATATTTTACAAACAAACTAATTAAGTAAAAAAGAAACAAAATTTGTAACATCCTATACAACTCGCGCCACAGCGTCGTATTACAAGCCTCTCCTTCTAACTAACAGTATGTTTTGTCTCTTTTAAATTCATTCAACCCATTCATATGCTTTGTGACCTTTACAAATGAACTTTAGGTTACGCTTTTTATACACCCTTAGTGTTCTAAAATTCATTGTTTTGGAAAATTTAATAACTCTGTAAATATTGATGTTTAAAGAATTTAAATGTTTAATACAACTTTAAAAAGTTATCCCCTATATGTGTGTTCATTTATTGTCGCGATGGTAACGACACGCTGTATATGTGACGAAATTATGCTCGAACATACATAAAAAACATCAGAATTGATAATCCTTCTTTTTGAAGTCGGTAAAAAAATCTGAACCTGAATTAGATGGCTCTAGCAACAACGTGCTTGACATCTATAGCATCGCAACAATGGCTAAACTGGCATGTTTCTCTAAATACTGAAGCTATATTCAAATCAAATTCTTAGATTATTCTTTTGTACGTTCTGTGAGACCTTTGAGCTGAAGGTGCTTCCACATAGAATCACATACATGTTCCACTATATTGGATACGTTTTGCAATTCTATGATGCCTTAAATCATGACTGTTGTAAGGTACATGAAATTTCATTAATAGTTTTATTTGTTTCAGTGCCAGAAATAAAAAAAAAAACATATGGAGGCAACTTAGAGACGGGCATTGTGAACCGACTAATGCTAAAAAAAATTAGGAGACAAGCAGCCGATTCCTAAAGCCTTAATAGAAGTAAGAACATCATAGAGTTTTCAAAACCATACGTGAAAATTTGAAAACAACATATAAATGTAGAAATGAGAAACACGACAATTGCCCCAGACGAACTTCACCTAGTTACCTAACAATACTATAGTTTCCTATTTTCAAGGGTCTGCTGGGAGGGAACTCTCTTTAGGATTAAGCTCGCCTTTAGACATGTTTTTTGTCATTTGTTCCAACTGTATATTTTATATTATGCGTACAATAAAGAAATCAATCAAACAGACGATGACAGGGAATGAGTCCGTTGACTCATTGAATGGAATCAGAACAAAAAGAAGCAAAAAATATGTATTTGCGGTATATTATTAGATTTAGTGTGTGACGAGCGTTACGAAAAAAAAAAATCTCCAACAAAGTGATTATTCTCTAATAGAAGTGGGCGATACAAATCGTATCAGATATGAAAACTAGATATTAGTACAATATCCCAATATCGCTTACTGCCTCGTTCAATATCTATGTATTTTACAATATCTGATATTTCCGAAATCTGATGTACCGTGCTCGCTCGCTATACCGACACGAATCGCGATACGGCGATATCATACGCGTTTGCCACAATATCTGATTTTTAAACAGATTTCGAGAGACAAAGCGCGTGAGATTAAAACTCACTAGTTAGAGCGGGACGGCAAGCAATGCACGATATCAGATATCGAGCGACAAAGCGCGTGAGATATAAATACTTACTAGTTAGAGTGGGACGGCAAGCAATGCACGATATCAGATATCGAGCGACAAAGCGCGTGAGATATAAATACTTACTAGTTAGAGTGGGACAGCAAGCAATGCACGATATCAGATATTGAGCGACAAAGCGCGTTGAGATATAAATACTTACTAGTTAGAGTGGGACGGCAAGCAATGCACGATATCAGATATCGAGCGACAAAGCGCGTGAGATATAAATACTTACTAGTTAGAGTGGGACGGCAAGCAATGCACGATATCAGATATCGAGCGACAAAAGCGCGTGAGATATAAACACTTACTAGTTAGAGTGGGACAGCAAGCAATGCACGATTCAGATATTGAGCGACAAAGCGCGTGAGATATAAATACTTACTATTAGAGTGGGACGGCAAGCAATGCACGATATCAGATTTTTAAACAGATATTATGAATAAGTTAAGTAATTTTGAATCTTCACATGCAAAAAGATCCGTTTCATTTAAATACTAATCTTGGTATCAGAGATTACTACAACGATATTATTATATTTTAAAATGTTTTGTTTAGCCTTGAGCCGTAACGGGCGACAAAGCGCGCAGTTAAGTAATTTTGAATCTTAACAGCATGGAAAAAAACTCTGTTGCATTTAAATACGAATTACGGTATTAACGATGTCTTTGAAATTTTGTTCAGCCTTGAGCTGGATTGCATTGGTACTTAACACGTAATAGTAAGGGATGCCAACTTACTACTTAAGAATTTTCTGCCTAAATTAAGGAAGAAAAATAACAATGTAAATTTTTTAGGAGGTAAATTTTTTGTGTGAATATTTTTATTAGCTGAATTTTATTCATATTTTTGGAAAAAAATAAAAAGTACACACAAAAGAAAAATATAATTTAATAGTGCTGTGCTGCTTTGGTGGTGTGGAAATCAGACCAAGGCTTATGTGCCCTTGTGTGTATATTTTAAATTCTTGCCCTAAGCTATAATACTGAATGTATTATTTCTTACACAAATAATAAAAATATTGCCACTCGATTGCGTGTTCTAAAAATATGTTAAAGTCAATTATTAAGCGGTATATACGATTTAAAATAATCATTTTCATCATAAATCATTTATATTTTTAATAATTTTTTTTTTTTTTTTAGAATTCTATTAATCAACGTGGATAGGGAACCGTAAAATATCTAGATATTAAAATACATAGTTTCGAAATCTGATATTTGAAATCGATATCGGATTCAGATACGGTACTCAGAAAAAGCGATACGACCCATCCCTATTCTCTAATCTGTTTGTTTCCATATCCTTTTGTCACGTTACGTCAATTTAACGTCAGTCTCAGTCGTCATCAAGGTAAATTGAGGCCCTAGAATAAGTTACTCTATGAATTGAGCTTTGCGACGTCAAAACAATACGTTGTCATGTGTGGTGGTTAATCTAAATATTAAAAAAATATATTTCCTAAAACTACAAACGATATAAAAATGGGTACGACAGGGCAATCTATTACATTAGCGAATAGTATAATAGGAGTGGGTATATTGGCAATGCCCTTTTGTTTTCAACAAGTAAGTTTGCTTATTTTGCCTAATGTTTGCTTGTAATAAATTTACAAAAAACCTTTTAGGTTTTTTTGAAACCAAACACGGGAAAAATTCTTGCATGTTTTCATTATAATAATAATTGATACCTGACTAAATCCTTACCGAATAATTGACTATGAAACCTAACAGTCCAAATTTAAAATATCCCTATATGAATTATTTTATTATAAATTAATATTTTTATTTAGTATAAATTCAAGAGCAGTTTTAATACTATAATTTAATGGAACGAAATGTGAACATCCTATTTTTAGTGTGGTGTTTTGCTTGCTACATTAATTCTTCTATTGATGGGCTTTGTTTCAAGATTGTGTTGCTATTTCCTCTTGAAATCTGCCATTATTACCAGGAGAAGGACATTTGAATTTTTGGGTAAGCATTAGTTAGAAATAACTATAAAAATAATGAACTATTCAAGAATTTGGATTATGGAAAGGGGGAATTGATAATATTCACCAATCTCTATCAATGGTAGAGCTTTTACTTAACTATGATTAAAGGCGAGTTTCTTTTTTCGATCTACAGATAGATTTGGTTACTAGAGTTAGAATTTTGATATAAGTCTTATGCAGCTAATGTGAAATACCTATAGCTTAATGTCTAAACAGCTCTAAATGTCTTCAAAAATCATAAATTTTAGATAGCAAAAATAATGTGTTATCTCTTGTTTTATCCCCTGCAACAATGAAATTGTTAATTTTAAGTGCAGAATAATCACATGCTCAGAGGTGAAGGAAAACATTGTGAGAAAACCTGCATATTTTCGAAATAATAATCAAATATAATGTTTCGAAGTCCGCCAATCCACAGCGGGGCTGCGTTGTGGTCTATGCCCTAATACCCTCTGTAAAAAAGAGGCTTTTGCCCAACTGGGATATGTATAGACTGATACTTTACTTTTTATCACTTGCTTAGTAATCAACCATACTTTTCACAAATATATTCATAAATACCATTACATCATATATTTTTAATTGTCATATCAATGTCAACCAGAGGCATTCTACATCTTCTATTTCATTTGGACCATTGTAGTATTGCAGGCTTTCTTTTTTAGTTACACTGTTTACTTTGTTTATAAATCTTTCCTTTTTAATTATTTCAGCATTCCATGTGTTTGGACCAGCTGGCAAGTTAGCAGTAGAAGTTGGTATCATCGGATTCTTAATGGGGACTTGCATAGCATACTTTGTGGTTGTCGGAGACTTGGGACCTCAGATAATTGCTAAAATGTTTAACATAAATCAAAGCGACATTTTAAGGTAAGCTTTTTTCCTTTATTGTAAATTAATTTATGCATGATTTAAAAAATATCTGCTATGTCTGTGATTGAGATTGTTGATGCTTTGTGCTGTCTTAAAGTAGTGCATAGAAGACATTCTTTATTTTGGGCTATATAGAAATAATATAGGAAAAAATACAGGAGCTATTGTAATACAAATAAATTAATTAGAACCAGTCATAACTATGTCGATCAAATATATAGCAGGCATGACAGTTTTCATAAAAAATATGAATATTTTATGACAAAATTACAAAAAATTACAGGAACAAAACAAATGCATGGATTTTTTTGCAGTTTACTTAAATTTTAAAAAGACTCAGTTTCAAATGCTTTACAGAATAGGGAAGATGCAATATTTTCATTTTTGGTTTTATTCAAATGGATTTCATGTACAATAGACCACTAGTATATTAAAAAATTAAAATACTGTAATTTATTGTAAAAAAATGCGGTTTCAAATTGATGATTTAAATTTTCGCGCGAAAACGGATCGACAATTAAGATGATGTCACTCCTGTCCGTCATCTGTCACTTGCCAAATAATTTGTCTCACTCTTTCAACGCATAAGTTTTGACTTTCTAGAAATTTATTATTATTTTTTTAAATAAATACCTCAAAGTACAATAAATAAAAAATGAACTATCTATCAACATCAGGTAATCAGTAAAAAAAAAAACTTTGATCATGCCCCCATAATTGTTAGAGAACCAATTTTACTTTTGCAGTGAGCAACTTCATAAAGAGTTGAGCCAGTGATCCTTCCATACCTGTAAAAATAGAAAATGCATACTTTTTACTTCTATAAGTTTATGCTATGTATGTATGAAATACATAAAATGAGTATATAAATAAAACTATATTAGAATCTATACTACCTTAACTCAAACCATAATGGGGAAAAAACCATGTTAATATTATCAGATGTCATCTCCATCTGTTTCGATTTGGACATAACCGATAGCGCTGTCGCCACAAAATTGCCTTGTTGAACTGAAATAATAGCTAAATGTAGAAGCTGCTGAATGAAATACAAAGTCTCACTGTGATTTATACATACAGTAACATTTTAATCCCTTTCATTTCTACACTTGAAAACTCTGCACTTTCAACAAAATCATTTCTAACCATGTCAACACTAACTTCCGGTAAATTCCTGGAGTCTGCTTTTATAATCCCAATCTCCATTTTTATTTAAAAATACAATTAAATTTCGCAAAACAAACAATGTTTACCTTTCCCATGTTATCCTTTATAAGCTGTCTAGAAGTGGGCGATACAAATCGTATCAGATATCAAAACGATATATTGGTACAATATCTGAAAATCGCTTACTGGCTCGTTCAAAATCTATGTATTTTACAATATCTGATATTTCCGAAATCTGATGTACCGAATACTCGCTCACTCGCTACACCAACACGAATTGCGATATCATACGCGTTTGCCACAATATCAGATTTTTAGACAAAGCGGGTGAGATACAAATATTCACTAGTTAGAGCAGTACGGCAACAATATCAGATTTTTAAACATATTTCGAGCGACAAAGCGCGTGAGATACAAATATTTCATTAATTAGAGCAGTAGGACAACAATATCAGATTTTTAAACAGATTTTATGAATAAGTTAAGTAATTTTGAATCTTAACAGCATGCAAATAAGATCCGTTTCATTTAAATACTAAGCATGGTATCAACGATTACGATATCTTTTAATTCTTTTATTTAGCATTAGCCTTGAGATGTAGCGAGCGACAAAGCGCGTGAGATACAAATATTACATTAGTTAGAGGGGTACGGCAAACAATGCACAATATCAGATTTTCAAACAGATTTTATGAATAAGTTAAGCAATTTTGAATTTTAAAATCACGGAAAAAACTCTGTTTCATTTAAATACGAATCATGGTATTAACGATGTCTTTAAATTTTGTTTAGCCTTGACCTGGAGTGCATTGATAGTTAAGCACGTAATAGTAAGGGATGCCAACTTAGGAATTTTCTTCCTAAATTAAGGAAGAAAAATTTTTAGGAGTTAAAAATTTTATTGGCATTTTTGAAAAAACAAAATAAAACTATACAAAACGAAAAAGAAAAATATAATTTATTAATTCCGTGCTGCATTAGTGGACGTCATGCCAAGGCTTATGTCTTGTGTGTATATTTTAAATTCTTCCGCCCTAAACTATAATATTGAATGTTAATAATTAATAAAGATATTGTCACTCACTTTTTTTTATGAATTTAAGATACGCGAACGTAAAATATCTAGATATTAAAATACATAGTCTCGAAATCTGATATTTGAAATCGAAATCTGATTCAGATACGGTTCTCAGAAAAGGCGACACGACCCATCTCTAAAGCTGTCAAAACAGGAATGACGTCACTAGACGCTGATTGGCGTTTTAAAAAACGTTCCGTTTCACGTTACTTGAATCCGTAATATTTTTAAAAAAATCTATATAAAACCAAATAAAAATGTTGCAATTGCCAATTTTTTATGATTATTTAACATTTTAATCACAAAAAATTGAAAAATATTAAATCTGCATCTTGCCTATTTGTGCCCCTGAGTATAACAGTTTTACTAACACTGTGAAAAAAAGAAATGCAATAAATTCACATATCATTTAATAAATGATTGAACAAAATTATATAAACATTGCATTAGTTATAAATTGTGCCAGTCTAACCACAACACATTTTTTATTTAACAGCTTAAGTTATATTATACCGACTTCATTTTTTTTAAATTTGATGGAATTCAGGATACCTGTTAGAATATATGAAAAAATTAAAATAAAATATGACACATTTGATTAGTATATCTAATCAAATGTATCATATTTTATACTGTGTATTAAATGTGAGACCAGCGCGAAAGATTCTGTGCTGGCTGAAAATTCTGTTTTAGTCGGAAACTATTCATATAATAATTGAGACGAACAATACAGATTTATATCTAGTACTATACTTAGTTAAATTATATTTCCAGGACGAGCATAATGGTGATTGTTTCCTTAGTGTGTGTGCTGCCCCTGGGACTGCTGAGGAATGTTGACAGCCTGAGCAACGTAAGCGCCGCGACCATTTGTTTCTACTTCTGCCTGGTCATTAAGGTAAGTGTCGACAGTATTATTTAGTTAGCACTGTAAAGACTAAGTGATCAATTACAAGAGAAGCTATACAATTATTAATTACAATGGTAGGGACACGCAATAGCTTCGACTATTGCACGAATGGCAGGTCCGTCCGGATAAGTACCACAACCTCACAGAAGATCGGCGTGAAAATGTCATGTCCCTGTGTTTCGTCTGGTGAGTGAAGCTTGTTTGTCACCTTCTCAAATAAAAAAAATAAGATTAGATGACGACAACTAATAGTTTTTTATTACTTACAGGTTATTTTAGAAGCGACATCTCAGTTACTGACCGCAGATTGGCACATACGTATTGAGACTTGGAAGCCCTCGGGGGTTCTACAGTGTGTTCCAATATTCTCCATGGCTCTTTTCTGTCAAACGTAAGCGGTATATAGTCCCGTATATTTAAAGCAGTAATAGTTATAGAAAATTGAATATTGATTTTTTTAAAGATTAACGTCTGCACACCGAGACTTTAGAATTTTGTTAGCAATGACAGTCGCTGCGTATTAATTTGAGATGTTGAGTAGGTACTAGATAATTAATATTATTAATAGTACTTAATTTAACCAAATTCGGTAACAGAGTGTTCGTAAGTCTATAAGGCTCTGTGTGCTTAAAAACTTGTTTTACGGCAAATTTTCCATTTATGAACCTGTTAATAACCTTAAGTGATGTTTATTACGACTTGATGACTGAAGAGGTTTAAAATTCGTCAGATCGATTGCTATAAAGAGATAGCTACAATAAATTCCGTTCCGATTCACGCAACGTCACCGTTCCTCGCACATTTACGTGGTATACATTTTATCTGTATTTCTTATTATTGATGTAATTTCAAATTGAGCGCAAGAGTTATTTACTTTAAGATTGTTTTTACTGTTCGGTTAACCACTGCCATCTGCTTCTCACCATGACGAATGTTGACTGGTAGAGAATTCAATTAGGCATTTTTTTTTAAATATAAATTATTTATACTCCACGTCTACTATTAAAATAATTATATTCATCATATTTTCATCTTAATGTATTCTGTACTCTTCATCACAACGTAACGTCGATGAGTACTTAAATCTACGCTTAAGCTACAGCAGTGTGTATTATTGAAGTTATACTTCTTTAGGCGCGTTATGAAAAAATTATCCGAGTGAAATTTTAAGATGCGCGCGCATCTTCAACACAAAAGTCACACCTTTGAAGCTGCCCACTAAGCCGCTTATTTTTTTATAGATGGCATATTCTCAATTACATTCGCCCGTTACGGTTAAAGATGTATTGTATTATTTAATTTTAAAAAAAATATTTGCATGCAATTAAATACTATTTTTTACTGGTACCAAAGAAGCATAACTTCTCACGAGCATATTTTTATTTGTTCTATAATTGGCTATTAGGCATCAAGTCATTTGTAGCCCTTAGCTTAAGGTGTAGCAATAAAGTTTAAATAAATAAATCGTGCCTTGGAGCACTTTTTCAGCCATTGGTTGGGTAAAGGTGTTGCAATAAATCGTGGCTTGTAGCAATTCTATATATTCATGTCAAACTGTTTACATATTTTAAAAAAATAAAAAAAAAAAAAAATCCCGCTTAGTTTCTTTCGCTAGTTCTACTCAGTACAGTGGCTTTCTTTTCCGAACCGATGAATATCAATAATAATATTGTATATAATATATATAATTCTGTGCCTCCTGTGATCAGTGATACAACTCGAGTTGTACCCTTTGTCTGATATTAACACATAAGCAATCAGTAAAAAATAAGCTAGCTTTGGGTCTGACTCACGTATTTCTATCTGCTATAGATCTCGAGATAATTTTGTTGAAAGTGATATAAATAATGGGTAATTTTATTCCAGTTACATCAACTTGAACAAAAAGAAGTTTATTTTGTTATTTGCAGGGTACAACTTGACATGTACTTACCGATCTGAATATTAATTTCGCCTACTTTTGTGCTGAATGATACATCTCAACATGCATCATTCCACACAATATCTATTCTTATCTGAACACTAAAATAAATTGAGTTGTATCTGAAATGCAAACATTTTCTAAAAAGTATTTACTACGAACTTTAGTGTAAAATGATACAAATTAAAACAAGGTGAGGGTGAAGGTTATGTGCGGGAGTGAAGTGACTGACTAAGCCCACTTTATTAAAAGGTTGCAACGCATCTGCAACACTACAGGAGTTGCAAATGTCCATGACCGGTGGCTATCACTTATCATAACGTGGACCTACAGCTCGCGTGCCACCTTCTCACATAAATAAACTATTTTGTAACACTGCCTCGAAATATACAACAACATCAGGAAAAACAAGAAGAACTCGTGACTTACGTAAAAAAGACGTCCAAATATCCCAAGAAAAAACGGACGCTAGATTTTTTCGATACTTCTTTCACGGGTTTGATCATAGCAAAACACGCAATTTGTAAAGGATGTTTTTTGAAGACTTTTGACGAAAACTACAAGTATCTTCAGACTTTATGCGAGAAACTTAGAAAAGTTAATACCTGATATCAATTACAATCTATTGAACATATATTTCTAATACCTAGCCATACTGACATGGAAGCAGACAGTGGCCATGCGCTGATTGAGCATAAAAAGAAGCACATGGGCATATAGATATTCACCTGCCAAGAGATTGGTAGATACTGGTCTGCACAGCTTCAAATAAATCTGCAAAGTTTACTTTGATCGAAATGACTCAGAATATGTTTTACGACTTCGGTCTTTTTTTAAACAATTATTTACCAAAACAACTACAGACATTAAAAAGTTTCTGTAGTGTGATGTCATATCGATTATGTATCTTTAAGGCAACTTTCCCTGTATTTCTTACAAAAAAAGGCTCATGAGGCTCACATGAATGAATTTATCGAAACGCGGAAAAGTGTACTATATGGTAGGAATTTATACGATACCAAAAGCTTACCATTCCAAGATTCCCATTTCAACAGAAAAGAAGAAGGATCTAGTACAATTATTATCCATGAAAGACCTCATGAATTTCATAGAAATCTAAACTGTAAGAGTGACCGACGACGTTCAATATCGCGGTCATTTGGAAGGAAAAGACAAGCTGGCTTCTAAAAAACTCGGTATCCTAAACCGAGCGAGACAGTATTTCCGACCGGCACGTCGTTTGCAGCTTTATAAAGCACAGATTCGGCCGCACATGGAATACTGTTCTCACCTCTGGGCTGGGGCACCGAAATACCAGCTCCTACTATTTGACCGCATCCAACGAAGAGCTGCTCGAATCATCGACGACCAAATCCTGTCCGATCGTCTCGATTCTTTGGCCCCGCGAAGAAATGTTGCATCCCTTTGCATTTTTCTCAGTTGATACCTGCAGGTGAATTTCACTATCGTACAACTTGTCAAACCGCCAAGTACCATCGACACCACCTTGATGGTTGGCGGTCCACAACTGTGCGTTTTTCGCGAAATCTTGAATGAATGTGGAACGAGTTGTCGCCAGCGGTATTTCCAGACCGATACGACTTAGGGACCTTCAAGAAGAGAGCCTTAAAGGCCGGCAACGCAATTGCGACTCAACTGATGTTGCAAATGTTCATGGGCGGCGGTGATCACTTACCATCAAGTGACCCGCATGCTCGTTTGCCCCCTTTTTCCATAAAATAAAAAAATGTTAAAGACTCTCTTCCGGACAATGAAGATGATTCTAAGTAGATTATAGAATATGATTTACAAAAACGACAGATTTGTTATTAACACTGAAGACTGATTTTTATAGGTATTTTCTGATTTTGTCGTTATCGTTTCCTTTTATTTTTGGTTTACGTCTAAAGGTGATTTTATTATTATTATTATTATTATATACTTTATTGTACACCACAAAGAATTTGATACAATTAGTATGAAATAAGTCTTAAAAGCTAGGTACAATAAGGCGGTCTTATCGCTAAAAAGCGATCTCTTCCAGACAACCTTAGGACGAGGAAAAATAAACTAATGAATAGTGGGAGGTGGTGTGCTCAATAAACTTACTTAATACCAAAATAGACTTAAATATAATAAGATAAACAAAATTATAATAAACATACATCAACATAAATAAATATATAATATATATAAATAAATACACGAGAGAAGAATTAAATCTGAATATTGCCATTAAAAACTATGGATTACAAAGCGATAGATAATGTTGTTTTACGTCAATTTTAAACTGATTAAATTTTAAACTGAACTGACAGTGATTTTACTCATAGATAGGATGCCTATAGAAAGATAAGAAGATTTTTTTGCGTTTGTTAATTTCTCTATGTTTATTAATCTATTTAGGATTAAGATAATGATCATAATATTCTGTAAGTACTGAAAGGATACCGATCCTAGATATATAATTTAAAAATTTTTAAGAAATGAAATTTTGAATAATTTAGGAGAAGTACAATATTTTTTTTATTATTTGTTGAATAGTTGTATTAATTTACACAATCAACATATTTTTTCAAGTCAGGTATAATTTGACTTGTATCATATAACACATGTTTCAAATCACGAGGATTTTAGCTAACTGATACAATTCAAAAACTTAGGTTCAAGTTGATGTAACTGGAATAAAATTATTATTCACGAAAAATCATTAGAAAATCAAATGTGAAAATTGATATTATAGTAGTTATACCACAAAGTACGAAAAGAAATGTGTGGAGTGATACTTTACTGGTGCTATATCACGACTAAAATCAAAATTCACAATTTTTTCATCCAAAATCCCATTATTTATATCACTTTCCACAAAATTATCTCGAGATCTATAGCAGATAGAAACACGTGAGTCAGACCCAAAGCTAGCTTATTTTTTACTGATTGCTTATGTGTTAAAATCAGAAAAAGGGTACAACTCGAGTTGTATCACTGATCACAGGAGGCACAGATATATAAATATATCTATATGTTTATTTTTATTCATAATATTTATTTCATATACGCATAATATATCTATACGTTTATTTTTTATCTATAAACCCAACGAGACGAGAAAACAAATCAATCAATAATAATAATATTTTGACTATCAATAAGCGAGTGTAATACTCACATGTTGAATAAAGAATTTTGATTTTGATTTTTAATTTGTCAGCCATTGGTCGTTTTCATCAGGCAACTGTTCGAGATCTTCGAGTCCCTGCCATCGCTGTCGCTGGAGAAGATGAACGTTGTGACGAAGAACGCGATCAACATATGCACGGCGGTCTATTTCACGCTGGGCTTCTTCGGCTACGTAGCGTTCAGCTCGCAGAATATATCGGGTTCGTATTTCGATATTTACCTATCAGCATTTATTATTTGTCTATCAGCTGTGGTGTGGTAGCTTCTAGCTAGACGTAAGGACCGATTATTTTGCGATTCTTTTTGAAAGGTGAAGTGATCAAGATGGTTCTTAGGTATAATATGAGGTTTTTTTTTACTTGGGGCTAGTTAAATTAATCTGTAATTTTATATTATTATAGGGTTTGGTTTTATGAAATTATCAGCGAAGCGGGTAGCGGGTAGCGGAACACGCTTACATTTGTCCGTTACCCGCGGATTATTTTGCATCGTTATATTTTAGCCATTATAAATAAAACCTTGTTGTATGGCACCTCAACCTTCGTAATGAATCACTTCGCCCTTTGTGACATGACCACAGAAGGACATTTTTGAGACAGGACGATCTTAATTTGTATACTTCGATTGGATTTTTCCTATGCATATAACCTTTAACTAAGTTTTGTGTTTCTATCTTTCCAGGCAATATTCTGATGAGTCTGAGTCCGACATTCGCGAGTGACGTCATCAAGCTAGGCTTCGTCATGTCGCTGGCTTTCAGTTTCCCGCTCATAATATTCCCCTGCCGAGCCAGTCTCTACTCCTTTCTATACAAAAAGGTTGGTCGGAAAATAATTATATAGAAAAGAGAGCTTAAATTAAGCCCATATTGAATAAAGATTTTGACTTTTGACTGACTTTGAGCGTAGATTATGTTTGTTGGCGTTAATTAAATTAAATTTAATTGATTAAAAAACCCGGTCGTCAGGTGCACCCCGCCCACCACGACCACATAATCAACCACTCGATCCCCGAGACGACGTTCCGCTGTATAACGGTGGCGATAGTGGCGGCGGCGCTCTTCGTCAGCCTGCTGCTGCCCAACATTGAGCTGGTGCTGGGCCTGGTGGGCTCCACCATCGGCGTGCTGGTCTGCGTGCTCTTCCCGGCGGCCTGCTTCGTCAGCGTCACCTTCAAGGACACCAACGAGCGTTTCCTCGCCAAGGTGATCCGCCCCCACCCCCCACGCCCCGCACTGCACTACATAGTATAAAACAAAGTCGTCCCGCTGTCTGTCGGTCTCTACGTATGCACATCTTTGAAACTACGCAACGAATCTTGATGCGATTTTTTAACAGATAGTGATTCTAGAGGAAGGTTTGTACGTATGATACATTGCACCCGTGCGAAGCCGGGGCGGCTCGCTAGTGTAATAGTAAAATGAAAAAATTGCCTTGAAGACAAAAAAAGTTGAGTGTTTTAGCAAATGTGCTCATAATTGATAAAATATTCTAGCACGCGGTTCACCGGATGTTGAGTGATTAGATCAGCTGTTGGGTTGCAGATTCGAAAAAAAAAATAGATTTAAAGAAAGGGGCACCGCCTTCCTCACGCCTGAAAATAAATGCAAAAGTATTAAACTACCACTTTACGTAGATTCTTACTACTTGATACTTTCATGGACAAGACTGCTCATTCATGCAACAACAGACGCTATATTATATTGAAAATTCCTCAGATAATAATAATAATAATAATAATAATGTATTTATTTGCGAAATATAGGTTAGGCATGAGGTGTACAACACAGTAATTTTTATCGCTATATTCTACCCATTTTGTAGGGTGTGCAAATATGATATGTTCGCTTAAAGGTTGTCAGTATACATTCTCAAATTTCTTAATTATTATAATCATAAAATAAAATTGAAAAAATTATATAACAGAATATTAAAATAATATTAAAACATATGTCTATTAAAAAAGTAAGTTAACAAACAGTAATAATAGAACAGAGAACAAAATGACAAATAATTAAATGACTAAAAAAATATAAAAAATTCGATAAAATTGCACATTATTAATTCACTGAATACGTTTAGATTATTAATTTGACATAAATTCGTTTATACTGTAATAACATTTTTCTGTTAACATGTCGCGTAGTTTTTTCTTAAATAGATTTGTGTTTAATTCCTTCATTTCTTGTTCAGATGTAAATGTTATGGAAAAATTAAATGTTCACTTTAGTAGTCTATTCAATACGTATTTGAACTCGTAGGTGATTCTTGTGCTGGGTCTCATTATACTGGTGCTTGGAACATACGCCAATCTGCAAGCAGCGGAGAACAAATACGACGATAAGTACATCACGCAGGAGCGTATCGACAAGATGGTCGAGGACTTTTTCGAAAAACAGGATAAAATTGCAGGTATACCTTAATCAATACAGAAAACGCATGACCACAAATTTGTGATGCTTTTTCACTATAAAGCTTTATTTTATTGGGAATGTGTAAACAGTAACTTGATTTGCATTAATTATTATCAGTCTCGTTATTTCAGTTATAATGCCCAAAGCCGATTCGAAAAACAATCAAGAACAGAAAGTCGTTGAAGATAAAGTGTCAAACGAAATGTTGAAGGACTCCGAAGTGCAACCCCCTAACCCCATACCGCCCGAGTCTCAATCCAACGAAAAAGCTCCCGACGCTGCCCAGCCAGCCGATTATAAACTAGCCGAAGAACAAGCTGTTAAAGACACACCTAAGACCGTACCAGAAACTCACCCTAAAGACTTAAGAATGAAAATAGAAGAAGCCAAATTAATCAACGGAAATAGTCAAGCCAAAGTAGAATCAAGCAACATCGAGAAACCCGAAGAAGGAAAAGAGAAGAAGTCGAAATCTGATGCCAGTCAGGAAAAAATTGATATAATGAAAAAGCAACAGTTAATAGAAACAATCAAACAACACGGGGAAGAACAAAAGGAACTTATAAAGGAGCAGAAAGAGATATTGCACGAGATATTAAAGACGAAGAAGGAATTGGAAAAAGATAAAAAAGAAATGGGCGATACCGAAGCGAAAAAGATAGCAGTGGAAAGTATACAAAAGATTGCTAACATGGCAATACAAAGTTTATCGGGCGTTACTGATAAACCTGTGGGAGAAATTGATACAGGCGTAAGAAAAGCAGAGCCTTTGCAGAAGATTGCCAATGATGCTGTGCACGAAATTGCCAAGAAAGCTGCTGAAACTCTAGAAGCTATTGGAGAAATAAAAGAACCTAAGGAAGCTTTAGCAAAGTCAGTCGACCAACCAAAAGAAAACAAAAATGACCTAAATATAGAGGTTAGAGAGCAAATTATACCTCTAAAAATCATAAGTGACATCAAATCTGACAATAATTTAAATTCTATGCCAGAAATGGCCCATCAAAATGAAAAAGCTTCTATTGAGTCTCAAAATGTGAACAATATTAAAAAAGAAAACATAATAATACCCTCTGGAAAATTGGTTGTTGGCCACTTCAACGAAAATTCTAAAAATGATAAAGGCGAAGAACGCCTGCAAAAAGAAATGAATGGGATAGACAACCAAATGAAAGCGGGCAAGGAACAAGAAATTATTAACAGGGAACATTCGCACTCGCCAGACGAGCCCCAGTCGTACAAGCAAGGTGAAGATTTAGCGAATAAAGTTGCACCGAATGCTGTGAACAATGTTGTCGCCCCAAATGTTCCTTTACCTATAGCATTGAAGGGTTCTCAGGATAATGTAAAGAATATTATACAAATAAGTGAGCAGAATTTATCACCCAATAATGTAGAAACAAATAATGATCAACAAAAAATCGCGAACGATGCCAGTGGAAATGTACAAAATACAGTGATAAAATCAAATAACGCCATCAGTGAACAACCAGTTCAAAATAACGAAAACAACGAGAGAGTAGTGCCGAGACAGAAGAGGGAAGTAGTCGATTGCACTGAGAAGACAATTTTAAAGCCGGAAGACAAGCAAATTTGTGAAAGTTTGATTAGTAATAATAACTTGCTTCCATCGAATGTGAAGTTAGACTTAGGTTTACCATTGAATCCGCCAATGCATTTTAACATTATTCAGAGGTCACTGAAGAGTTACAACGAAGACGACAGACGCAGATAAAATAGAAAAAAAAAATATTTCATAAGTAACATTTTAATCATGGTTTTGATTAAATATGGTTCTAACAAACATGAGTGTCAACATAAACCTAGGTATTTTAAAGGAATAAAAGGGGAAAATTTTCTAACTAGAGAATTTTTTCAACTGTTTTGTTCAGGCTATTTGTCATTAATTTATTAGTATTGTTGTTTTTCCTTAGATAATAAAGTATTTTATACAACAACATCTATAAAGTTGATAAATCAGATTACATGTATATATCATATACAAAGAGATTAGTAAATTTACTGTTCTCAAAGTAATATAAACAGATTAGGTTAATATTATCATAGTGTATTTAAATGCATTTATATTTAAATTGTGGTCATTAATTGTTCAAATTAAGCAAACAGTAATGAAACTGATACATTTATTACTAAAGCATAATAGAAACATACATTTTTTTTACCCTTTTGGGCACTAAACTACAATGATTTCTATTTAGTATTTATTTTTGCAAGGTGTTATGATCTCAAATTATTATCGCCTTGAAATGAGATTGATTAACAAATATATGGTTGAAACGACTGATTCTGTGTAACAAAGAAAAAATAAATTATTTTATTAACCAACCCACACTTTTATTTTATATATACAAAAAATAATAAGAAACAGAAATATCAATATGCACTTGAGTTTGTTGGATAAATGCGAAACTTCAACATTCACTGGGTACTTAAATAATTAAGAGTTCTTTTCTTTAGTTTTGGCTATTCGGCTGCTCTCCCAGCAGCGGTTTTTCTAGATCTGGAACATAAAAGATAAGCCATTATTATCATAATAATTTAATTGGGAAGTACTAGGTTGTTTAATAGAAACATGTAAATATATGGTACATCAGTTTAGTTATCTCTTTTATCTGACTAGCAATGTTTGTAGAGAGACTACTATTTTCAGAAGCCGGTCTTAGTTATAAAAATGAGTGCAATTGTTTACACAAATGTCTAATAACTTGAATTAATTTGTTTGCATTTGTAATTGAGTGAAATGGGACACTGACGCCCGGTTTCTGAAACTGATCATGGTAGAAGTCAACTAATCAAATGGATTTCAAATGTTATTTGAGTTGTTGTTAGTAGTTAATTGATCATCTGTCAAATCACTTTTTAAATGTCATTTGAGTTGCCAAAAGGATGGTTAAACTCAAAGAGGTTAACCGACCCACACTTTTCCCCTTTGAGTTTATCCATCCTTTTGGCAACTCAAATGACATTTAAAAAGTGATTTGACAGATGATCAATTAACTACTACGATGATCAGTGTTTCAGAAACCGGACGTGAGTGTGTGAAACTGAGAAAAGTTTGCTGACCACAGCTAATATACCAATTCAAAATAAATATACATATATTTCGCTATTAGTAAAATGCAGCACAAATTGGGAACACTGATCATAATTATTATTATAATCACGGTACGTACACTCACCATTATAATATTATATTACTAGGAGTAATATATAATGATAAAAAAGTAATTATCAAAACGATGTACTCCTTATCGGGCCAACGACATTGTCGTTTATACATCTATCTTGTGTCTCATCATAATACGCCTGAGAAGCTTTTCAATCGATTTTAAAAGAGGATGGAGAACTTTTTTATATTGCGAATGAAAAAAAAGGATTAAACCCAATCGATAATGGTTTTATCTTGGAAATAATAGGTAAATGACAAAAAGTTATTGTTTACTATGGTATACCGCGTCAACTTCATGTCGCTTTTTGGCTGTCGCTGAGCGCACGCACCGTAATGGTTTTATCCATTACACTTTTTTTTCCAAAGGCGCCAGAAGAAGTATAACTTCGGAACATACGGTCTACTCGCTGAATGCTCAGTATCTAGTACCAACCTGACGTCGCCGTCATCGAAATCGATGAGGAGGACTATATAATCCACTACCAAAAAGCAAAAAAAAAAAAAACCTTTTGCCACTTTCCGTGTCGGGGGTCGCGACGTCCGACTGCGTAGAGGCGCGCCTCGGCTTCCTTTTGGGAGTGACATTCCCCGCGCTCTCAGATTCGGCCCTTTGCTGAAGATATAATGTTGATTATTTATTTATACATTGCATATACCGTAACAAAAGAAGTATTAACAACAAAAAGCTTACAATAATGGTTGTACAAAGGGCGGCGTTATCTATAAAGTAGCGATTTCTTCCAGGCAGACCTTTCTTAAGGGAATGAGTGAGGTAGCCGGTGCCCAATTTTCAAAACGTTGCAGACGTAGCGGATGTCCATGGGTGGGCGGTATTCACTTAACATCCGCGTTGATCCGCCACATGAAAAAATCTTATTCAGGAGTGCGTCGTCTAGGTTATGAATGTTTTACCGATGATAACACCGTGGCGGCATAATACGACATATAATACCTCGCCAAGTGCGGAACTGACACCCGGTTTCTGAAACACTGATCATCGTAGAAGTTGATACATCTACGATTGATTTCCATTTGAAATCTGATTAGTTAATTTCTACGATAATCACGCCCGGTTTCTGAAACACTGATGATCGTAGAAAATCTACTAATCAGTGTCGATGATGATCAGTGTTTCAGAAACCGGGCGTAATTGGTTCAGAAACCGGGCGTGAGTGTTTCAGAAACCGGGCGTGAGTCATCGTTCGTTTGTATGTTCTTTATTGTAATAAAAGTTTGTACAAAGCCGAACTTAATGCTTAATAGCGTTTTCTATCGCGCGTGCCCTTGAGCTGGTGCGGAACTGACCTTGGGGTCCGGCGTGGCCTTGCCCTTGGGCGTGTGGAGCGCCTCGCAGGCGCGGTTGAAGGAGGCCCTTCGGCCGCGCACCGGACTCGCCTCCGCCGGGGAGCCGAACTGGGTCGCGGCTGAAACGCGTCGATCGACGTACAAGACATTTTTATTTTGTAAACATTTCCCTCACTTTAGGGTAACATCATCCCGTGTTGTAAGGACGCGTTTACAAACATAAATTTCACGTGGACAAACACCCAGATGCGAAACAACTATCTGTGGGTCGCACAAATTGTTGTCCCGTGCGGGAATCGAACCCACGACCCCCGACGCCGAAGCCAATACTTTGGCAACTGCGCGACGGAGTCATCAAAATTTTTACTAACGTAAAACGAAACGGACTTCAAATATCCCGCCCTGTATTAATTTTATAATTGACTAACTGTTAACCTCGGCTCCGCCCGCGCGGCCAAAGGGAATTAACAATAAGGTTTTTTTCAGATATGATGGCTGAATTTTTTCGTACAGCTAAATAACCATTCGGTGACGAACTTGCGTACGTACGTGAGTTTGTGTATTTGTGTTTGTTAATGAGCAAGGGTTTGAATAAGGGATGTCGAAATTGGTGAAATAAATCGATATCGGCCTGAATATATCCACGGGAAAATATCAATGTATCGGATTTAGGTCCTAGAAACGTCTTTGTCAAAAAAAAGATTCAATTCGAATTTGAAAAAATATAGTTGTCGATACGAATTTCCATATTGAATACTATGCATCGATGTATCGAATCCAAATATATCGCCTGAAAAATATCGGATATTTTTTTTCGACATCCCTAGTTTGAATTTCGAACTAGCTTACCGATGTCGACGGACGTCCTTCTTGGTGTCTGTTTGGTCGTCGGCGCCGACTTCGACTCGGAAGCAGCACGGGCCAAACGCGCTGCGAAAATAGTTTTTGATGTTACTATACCCGAGATAGGACACTCGGTTTTGTGTTGCTACCGTAACAAAGGTGGAATTAAATTCCTGCACTAGAATTGTTTCTTTTTAATTAGGAAGCTTGTATTAATGAACGTATGAAAAACGAAATCTAGACTCTGCTATTACAATGAGATGGTTTGTAATATATTAGAAATTTTACTTGAAGCTTCAATATGAATGAAATGATGGTGATAATGATGAGTCATAAATCGGTGATCATGCAAGGAAAACGCGTAATTGAGAAATTAATGCGAAATCAAAATTACTTCTCATACAATATTCCGATCAGAGAATAATAAATTAATCACTGAACGGGAATATTTACTAATGATTGCCGAGAAAAATATTATAAAATGACATCTGAAAGCATAATTAAAAATATGTAGGTATTCTAAAAGCATTCATATTTGAGTAAAAAACAAACCTTATAACTCCCAGCAGTTCTCAATGCTGTGGTTCCCTTTAACTTACAAAAGGTCAACGAACCCAGCGCAGCGTCTCGACAACGTGTCCAAACGCAACGGCGACCAGACATCGCATCCACAAACCCGGACAATGCAAGCGCAACAAGCGTAGGGTATCCGAAAATGTTTTACGGGCTACTCAGCTGTGCTTCAACATTCAAAAGGTCAACGACCCCAGCGCAGCGTTTCGACACGGACAAAGATCATCGACCCCGGCGCGGCGTTACGCCACGGCTAAAGGTCAACGACCCCGGCGCGGCGTCTCGCCACGGTCAAAGGTCAACGACCCCGGCGCGGCGTCTCGCCACGGTCAAAGGTCAACGACCCCGGCGCGGCGTTCCATGCCAGCCGGCAATGTGTCGCAAACGCAGCAACTATCTATGCAAGCTCAAGGCGTGTACTCACGTAGTGGCCTAGGGGCGTCCGGGGTAAGGGGGACGGGCGAGGCGCGCCGCAACTCCTCCGCGTCGGGCGGCCCTAGCGTCGGTTAGTCGGAACGGTTAGGTCATGGGCATGGGTGCGCGGAGTTTGGACGAGCAATTCGCTACGGTTCAATCTACTTCGATCGCCTACTTGCATGTGTGTTGCAAAATTTAAAACAAAAAAGAAAAGCAGAGAAACTATTGAAAGTAAAAAGAAAATCATATAATTGTCAATCGTAATAGCGTATGCCATCATCTGTTAAGAGTTCTTTTTATTACGATGACATAAAATTTGATTAATTAAAATTAACTAATTATTATTTAAATAACCTAATTTTAAAATATGTAATAAGCATTCATAAATTGCATTCAGTGCCTTTAGCTTGGTGACAGCTGTCAATCAAATCACGCCTATCAGGTTTCGCAATTTGTGACGCTAAAATGTTTAAAATATTTTTTTGATTTTTTTTATGCGAAAAGTTGTCAAACGAGCAGACGGTTCACTTGATGTTAAGTGAATACCGCCGCCCATGGACATCTGCCACACGTCATGCGTTGACAACCTTTTGAAAATTGGGCTCATATAAAATTTTCGTAAAATGAATTTTAAGTTGAAAACGATTTTGCTCATCAAAATTCCAGCGAGAAAAAATTGCAAATCATAAAATGAACATCCATTTAAACTACAAGCTGTTACAGCGATTTGTACAAAAGCTGCAAAAAAGAAAAAGATAATTGCAACACAAATAAAATTAACAATGACATGTCTAAAGGAAATTATTATAAATTAATAATTTAATATAATAAACATTAATTTAGGCAAAAAAAACGTACGAAAAATACGTAATATAACAATATCTTCTTATGGTTTTAAATTTAGATTTCGCCAAGCAATAATTAGATCTGGTGAAAATACTAATCGTCACACTTTAGGAGTGATTTAAAAACTTTCTTCAGATAGAATTAATTACGTTCAGAAAATAAAATTGTATTTTTTTTATACAAACAAAGGCAAAAAAAAAACGTAGGAAAAAGGTAAAAACAAAAATTCTGATATAAAAAAAATGAAAATGAAAATTTTCTTAAATACGAAATAAACATAGTATATAGATTAAGAGTTTGCTTTTACAATTGGATCATGCTGAATATTGTAGAATATGTGAAGTATGCAATATATTTGCGGGGGACATCGATACAATATCAATCGTTTACAACAAAAGGAGAGGAACATTTAGGGCAGGACAGGAGATTACATACATACAAACTAAACATTGACATTCCGGGGTTTGCTTTAAATGTTTACATGTTTAACTACCCCACCTGATAGCAACTGATGGAGATTGTCCTTTCAGTTGATCTACTGCAAATTAACTCCCTTAGTGGATTCACGATTTACGGAGACCACATCGTGTCATTAACAGGCGACTTCTTAAGTTAGATGTGTATGGATACTTGCTTAGAGCATTTGTTGACTTGTGTCAAATTCATAGGTAAATACTTTACCTATGAATTCGATACGAAGTAACGCTTGTTAACCACCCGAAGGTCATGAATCGTTCTTGATCGGTCGCTGCAGTTGTCGCCAGCTGTAGAGGTTGGCAGCTGTGCTGGCTTACCTTGGTAATCCTCTTTGTCTAGGAGCGCGATGCGGTCCATCTCGAGGGGGTCGGGGGCGCGTTCCTCCTCCTCGAAGGAGGTCTCAGAGGCCTTGGAGGCTTCGGAGGTCCTGGAGGCCCTGGAGGCGGCGCTGGCGCGTCTGCCCCTGGGCGCCGCCGGCTGAAGCCAGGACTCCATCACCGACTTCTGGTTGCGGGTCAGTCTGAAAGTTCCAAACAATTGGAAGGGTAACGGCAAACTAATAACGCCTTTCCGATACCGAGTGATGTACAAAAATAAATAAACAGTTCACTTTCGCTTGCTGTTAATTCAATATACTCGAGCAACCCAAGTTGAATCCCCGGTAACGGCCACAATAAAATTGGTAATTTTAATTATCATGTGCACAGTGGTGAAGGAAAACACTGCTGTGTAACCTGCATACTTTCGAAATAATTCCGCTAATCCGCAGTGACGTCGCGTAGTGGACTATGCTATAATTATACCCTCCGTACAGCATTGGGACACATATAGGCTGTTACTTTGCTTTTCTTTTAGCTTACCTCCTGGTGGCGGTGTACTCGTTGGCTTCCGCGGCGACTTCCGCTTTGAGCGCCGCCTCCTCAGCGGCCACTTCCGGTATGACGGAGAGGTCGGTCTTCGTGTTCAGAATGGACTTCCTGCCTTTCCTCGCCGCTGGCTTCGCCGGCGCCTCTTCGCTCGCTCTGCTGCGGGCCGATTTGGCGGAGACGTCGGACGCCACGCTGGCGTTGTCGTCGTTCACGTTCCTACTTCTAGAGCGAGTGGAGCGCCTCCTCGGTGTAAGGGAGTCGTCGAGCGATGGCGATTCCACTTCCTCTCCCTTCGCCGCCAGCTCCTTGGAGGCGCGTCTCGTGAGTATCTTCCTCACTTCTGTCGTGGGGGTCTTTGGGCGTCTTCTGCCTGGGGTCACTTCTCCGCCCCTGCTCGTGTCGTCGGGGCTGCTCTGTTCGGCCTCCGCGGCGGACTTGTTCGACGAGATCGACTGGCTACGTTTGCGCGTGACAGGGGTCTTTGGCATATCCATAGATATCTCCACGGGATCCCCCGCCACGGAGGTTTCCGGTTCCTTCGTGGCTTCAGCGAAAGATATTGTGCGTTTTCGGGAGGGTTTAGGTTCCTCCGCTTCGGGTTCTTTGGCCTCCACTTGAGTCGTAGCTCCTGCTTCGGTGCCTTCGATTTTGGGCTCTTCTGGGATTCTCTCTTCGGCGCCGATTGGCGGTATCTTTATTTCCGTGGAGTCGACAACGTCCATAGCTTCAGTCGCCGGTTCATCTTCAATTTTACCCTCATCCGTAGGAGCGACTTGTTCGACCATTACCTCCACTTGCACCTCCACTGGCGGTGAACCTGTAACTGGTGAACGATAAATTATCAATTAAAATTCAAACAGACAGTCATAAAATTCTATAGAATTTAAAAAAAAAATTGTCCCACCTTTCTCTGAAGGTGGATTTTCTTCGCCTTCTTTTGCTTCCTCCTTGTCTTTGCTATCATCCGAATAGGTAAGATTAACATCAGAGTCCGTAGCGGAGTTGTCATCAGTTAATAAGGAGAAATTGGCTTGATTCAAGACATCCGTCGATTGTTCTTCGCGAGCGGATACCTCAGTTTTCGCGTTACTCGTGTTTTCCAGTACAACTTCGATGATCCTCTCGTTTGGTTTGTTATCCTGTTCTTCCAGTTTTTCATTGTTCGCTTCCGAAGTAATTTCTCTAGCGGTCTCCGTGTTTGTCTCAACGTGTACTTCGATGATTCTTTCTGTTTGTGATTCAACGCTCTCCTGTACCTTCGGACCCTCATCTGTTATTTGTTCTCCCGATTTCCGTTTGCTTGATTCGGGCTCCGAATCAGAATCGGCGATTGATATGATTTCGTCGTCGCTATCAGAACCGGAAGCCTGTAAAATTTTATTTTAAACATGTGTTATTTTTAATCATTATTTATCTTATTTTTAACATAAGATAAATAATGTTAATACGTTTAATTTTTTCGCTTTATTCACTTATATTGGCTTCGGCGCCCGGGGTCGTGGCTTCGATTCCCACATGAGACAACTGTTTGTGTGACCCACAGATAATGGCTTTTGGATCTAGGTGTTTGTCCACGTGAAATTTATGTGTGTAACACGAACCTACTGCACAGGATAATGTTATTTTACATTAATGAGCAACGTTTTAGTGGGGAAAACTCAAGAGTCTTCGCTACGAAACCTAAAAAGCTGCAGCCTAAAAACATATGTAGCTTTTTAGGTTGCAGTGGTCGTTGGGACTTACTAGCCGAACTCCTTCCACATAAAATATAATACATTACCTGTATCTTTAAAGTGATTTTAATTGTTACAGTGCCTGCGTATTTTTAATTCATTTTCTCAATCAATGTGAAATATTTTGCAACAGTATTGTTATTTTTAAATTGTAACTTTTTGTATATAAACGAACAAAAACTTCCGGTACTACGGGATTCGAACCTGCGTTTTCTATTTCGCGCCCAGACGCTTTACCAAATAAGCTAAGCGACCGATGACTAGATGGTTATTCATAATTATCAGTAATAAATGTCAGTAACCAGTTCATTTACAGCAATATATAGTTATACGTGAAAAATAAATATTTTTTTTAAGTGAGAAGATGGCAAGCGACCTAGCGGTTCACCTGATGTTAAGTGATAACCACTACTCATGGAAATTTGCAACACCCGAGGATTAAACTCGGCCCAGGCTACCTTACTCAACAGATGAAACGCAGAAGTGTAACACTTCCATTTCGCGCCGTTCTTCTGCGACTTACTCGTGTTACTTACCCCGACGGGTCTGCCTATTCGTGCAACTGTTGCGTAGTCCTAGCACAGTTAACGAAAATACATTTTAAATTGTCAGAATATACTCACTTCGTCATTGGAGCTTCCGTCGCCGGAGCCACTATCACTGGACTGTTCTTCCTCCGCCTCTTCCTCCTCGCCCACGACGATCTCCCCGTCGGTGCTCCCGTCCCCTTCCTCCTCGGAAAACTCCCCCTCGATCTCGTTAATCTCCCGCTCGATCTCCACAATCCGCTCCTTCTCCCTCTGGATGTCCCTCGCCGTGTCGCCGCCGTCGTACTTCCACTTCTGCTGGTCCCTTATATCTGCGTCGCTGTCGCTGGTCATCAGGCTTGAGGCGTCTTTGAGCGCGGATTTCGCCAGGTCTGTATTATCGACGCTGCTCTGGTGGCCGCCGAGCACGGATTTGCCGAATTCCGTGTCGTCCAACGATTTGAGTTCCAAGCGGGGTGCGATCGGCTCCTCCTCGGCTTTGTCCACCTTACCGTCGGCCGAGCTCTCGGCGAGGCTGCTCTCGTAGCTCTCCAGGATCGATCTGTTGAAGTCCGTCTCGTTGATGGTGGTGAAGGCGGGCAGCGATTGGATTTCGCCGTCCGGTGTATTCGTCACGACCAGTCTCGACTCTTCGCGGAGGGACGACTGCTCCACGCTGCTCTGGTAGCTCTGCAGCACGGACCTCTCGGAGTACACCTCGTGGATCGTGGCGAAGGCGGGCAGCGGGTTCGAGCCCGTGGCGGGGCTCGACTCGTTCGCTTGTAATCCACTCACCGACAGGCTCTCGGAGCTCTGCAGCACTGACTGGTTGACTATCGGCGAGAACGTCACGTCCATCAAGCTCGTGGGTTTGGTCTTCATGGGTGTGCATTCTATGGACGCTTCGGAGCTCTCTGCGGTCTGCTTCGGTTCCGATTTCGCCTCTTCCGTCGCTTGCTTGGTTTTTGCGAAGGCGTTCGCTTCCAACACAATTCTGGACAACGGTTTGCGTCCCTTCGCGGCGTTGTCCTTTTTCGGTGTGATAAGCTTCTCCGGTGTGTTCGATCGGCTCCTAAAATTTAATTACATCGTTATATTTTAATACGAATAGGATAACAAAATGTAAAAATAAATGTGAATAATTATCTCTAATTATCATTGTTATCAATGGGATGGATAGGTCGAAGCGGGATTGTACATAAATACAAAGTTACATAAATGCATTTTAAAAGATGTAACATTACTATGACAACCATGGAGTTAATTTGACCAATTTATGTTAAAAAAAAAAAAAAGAAAAATTTTTTCTTCACAAAAAGATAATAAGATATTAATTCTATTTCCTCAATCGCTTGATATTATTAAATACTTAATAGTGACTATAAAGAAACATGATTGAATTATTCAAACTCTAAACTGTCATTAAACTCAGTTTATCAATTCATCATCATCACCACAAGATGTCCATTGTTGAACATAGTCCCCCCCCCCTCTAGAACGCCACAACATCCACCGGTTGCCCACGACTTTTACATGTCGTCGGATGTTCATCAATTCAATAACTTTCATTGTACTACTAACTTGCTACATCATAGCGGGTCATACTTTTAACGGAAAACACAACACAGCGGGTCAGACACCTACCTCAAACTACGTGGGCTGCCAATGACAGGTTGCTCGGGCATTTTCTCAACTTCTGGGGTATGGGAACGGCTACTGAAAAAAAAAAAATCATATGAGAGAGGGGTTCACTATTAATTATAGGCCATCGTTATCAACATGATTTACATGTCGTGTCGACCCCACTCAGGATATATATTATACGGAAAGAAGAAGACTTTAAATATCTTATACCTCAAACTTCGACGGCTTGGTGAAGATGATTCGGAATTTGATGACCTCGTGGGTGATTCGCTGATGGCTTCCAATACTGGTGGCTGCACGACCACTTTCTCCGATAGATCGGGCGTGCGTGATCTGCTTCTGTTATAAACAATCATTTTTATATACTAGTATTAGTAGTATAACAATATGTTAAAAGGATAGTTTCTTGTCTTTACGCGATTACACATTATAAATGAAACTATTTTTTTACGGACTTGAACCCTTTACAATGTTTATGGTCACGTACTAAAAAAATAGTATAATTTATTAAATTAAAATGATAAAATAATATAATAATAATAATGTCTAATAGGGGAAAAATATGGTCATTATGTTTTCAAAAGAAATACCTACATTTCTTTGTTAAGGCTGAAGATACGATAAGTTTTAGAAATTAAAAAAAAAAAACGTGTGTGTGTACTTATGTACGTACGCACAGTGTAAAAAGTTATAATTCTTTAGTTTAAAAAAATTTCGCGTCACTTTGATTTTTTATTGTGAAAAAGGATTTAAATATTAACTTTATTAATTAAATTACTTGGAATTATAGTTTAATGTCAAAATTCGTTATAACTACTTCCTTAATACATTTGGTGTTACACGTTGGTATTACCTTAAGCTACGTCGGCTGGGCGATTGAGGCTCCGCGTCAGGTTGTGTTGGGGCTTCGGTTATGGCTTCCAAGGTCGGCGGCTGAGCGACGCCCTTCTCCAGCAAATCGGGCGTGCGAGATCTACTCCTGGAAGAGACAGGGGGAAATTGTGGGAATGATGTCAGCTGTGCGGTATATTCCTATGTGTTCCTATTTAGCCCGATGAATACGCCGTATAAAAACCGGCCAAGTGCGAGTCGAACTTGCGCACGAAGGGTTCCGTACCATTATATATAAAAACGACAAAAAAAAATCATCATGTCTGTTGTGTGGAAGCCCCATTTGAATATTTGTTTTCATTTCAACTGTTTAACTTTCACGTTTCGTGCGATACAGAAGACAGGTCGACAAACAGACAGCGGAATGTAAGAATCTTAATAATAGGGTCCCGTTTTGCCCTTTGGGTGCGGAACCCTAAAAGCGGCCAGACGGTCGACGGACGCGAACCTGAGCCTCCTGGGCAGGCTGAGCGCGGTGTCGGTCGCGTGCGGCTCGGTGCTGAGCTCGGCGCGCGGCTGCTCGGCGATGGGCGGCAGCGCCTCGGGCGTGCGCGAACGGCTCCTGCCACACGACCTCTTACTTACTTCTTAGTCGCCTCTTAGTTACTTCTTAGTCACCTCTTAGTTGCTTCTTAGTTACCTCTTTGTTTCTTCTTAGTTTCTTCTTAGTTACCTCTAAGTTACTTCTTATTTACGTAATAGTTACCCCATCGCATCTTTTTAGTTAGCTATTAGTAGCCGTGATAGTTCAATGTTCGGGCGCTCGCATATAATTTAATATACTCGAGCAACCTGAGTAATTTTAAGTGCTATAATGAGAACATCGTGAGGAAACCTGCATATTTTCGAAATATGTTATAACATAAAAAATATTTCGAAAATATGTGAAGTCCGCTAATCCATAGCGGCTGCGTGGTGATTTATGCCCTGATACTGATAGCCTCTGTACAGAGGAGGTCTTTGCCCAACAATGGAACATGTATAGGCTGTTACTTTACGCTTTTTATTAGTAACTTTTTAGTTATCTTTTAGTTTCCTTCGACCCACCACCTTGAGCTGTTAACAAGTTCTTTCAGCTAGAATAAAAATTTTACTATTTACTTTACATATTCATTTTATTATAATTTTTTTATCTTGACGTGGTTATCTTACCGCTGTATTTTACTATAATATTGCTGTGACAACTAATGCCTAACGTTCATTAGAATTAGTTATGTGAAACTAATTTAAATGTAAAATTTATGTACTATAAATAAATAAAACAAATTCCATTAATCATATTTCGATTAAAAAGCTAGGTTCCAGGTACTAATTTGTCGCTGACTAATCGAGACATTATTGAAAGAATAACTTAGGTAGCAAATTCCAGTACTTTCTTGTATGCAACAAAGTCCGGACCGATGAATCATTTAACTTTTTATTTTATTTCCTAACAAAAAAAAAACTTACATATACCTATTTCTTTATAATTCAGTCAATATCGCCTATCGTCGGTGGATAGCATCAAATTTAGTTACCTGGTGGCTCTGTTCGCTCTTAATGCTGCAATTGTTGGTGAGTCTTGCCTTTCAGGAGTGGCGGTGCCACTTCTGGAAAAAAAATACCAATATGAATATACATTTTTACGTAAATGTGTTTTGTTTACAAATTTGTATGTGACTATTTCCGTTTCATTAATCTCATACTTTACGTTGTATTTGTTTCCTAAACCATACTATTGAGGGTCAGTTAATAAATTATATGTATTTGACAAATACATTCGTTAACAGTAAGATTAATTACAATTTTCGTAGCTGACGTGTACTAACATTCTCATTATTTTTTTTTATTTAATTGCCAGCAGTACACACATTTTATGTTTAAATTACGGTTTGTAAGGTAGGTTTAACAAGTGGCGGCTAGTTACTAAGCAGCGTTAGATTCGTGAACGCACCTGTTAACGAGGGGCGTGCTTTCGGCGCCGATCTCCCTGATGCCCCTCCTCCCTTTGGGCGTGGCGGGCACCGGCCTCAGCTCGCAGAAGGGCGCGTCATCCTCTGGAGGCTTCTTGGCGCAGAAGGACGCGTCATCTTCTGGAAGCTTCTTGGCGATAGACGGCTCGGCTAACACGGCGGGGGAAGGTCGGTAGCGCGGGTTGATGAGGGTGACGGGAATGTCGGCGATGCTCTCGATCGAAGCGTTGGGGTCGTCGGATAGGCTGCTGTTCGCCGACATTGACAGTGAACGTCTGGAAACGTGGAAAATTATTAAAAACAGCTAATGAATAAGATTTGTTCCATTGCTCATTGAACAAGTTCACATTGGCCGTGTTCCATGTTCTCAGTGTTTAGTTTTAGTTATGTTATCTTAAACTGTATTCGAACTTCACTATCGCATTAGCATATATAATCGCAAGGCTGTACAGCCTTGTATGATAGTTGTCAGTTGACATATAAAATAAATATATAAAAAATTTTTAGACAAAAAAACACAGACGGAAAATTTTAGACTCCGTGGCGCAGTCGCCAAGGTATTCGGCGTCGGGGGTCGTGGGTTCGATTTCCACACGGCACAACTATTCGTGCGAGCCACAGATAGTTGTTTCGCGTTTGGGCGTTTGTACACGCGAAATTTATGTTTTTAAATTGTCCTTACAACACACAATAATGTCATCCTAAAGTAAGGGTAATGTTTTTAAAAAAAAAAAACGTTTATCGCCGCAGCGGGAATCGAACCCACGCCTTCCGGCGTTGTTCAGCGGTATTCATTTAATGTCAGAAGAGCTGCCTTCTCGTTTCGCAATTATTCACATAAAAAAATATCTACCGTTTATTTTGTTTATCTCACCTGGCACGAACCGAATCCTTATATGATTTTCTCGATTCTGGTCTCCCCTCGGTCGCCAGCTTCTTCGGCGGTGATTCCATTGGATGAGGGCTCTGAAATAATATTCAGATATTTTCATTTTAAACGTTCACGAGTAAACTGGTAATAAATGGAGATAAAACCTGGTCAACTAAGCTCTTATATCCTCTGAGGAGACCTTTGGCTAGAAACGTCAGTGACCTCGAATGGAGGCGATCAGTTATATGCAGTAAATGATATACGCTGAAAATCAAAAACATATCATAATTTGGTAAGTCTTCTAGATACCCTTGACATGATAACGACAGCATTGGCCACAAGGCATTAAGTCCATCCATTGTGGGCCTCAGCTTAAGGTGTAGCAATAAAGTTTCGACAAATAAATAAACAAACGCTGTATTGATTAACTCACATCGACACGTTCGCGTGCGTCGGGCGTATCCCTGTCCCTGTCGGGCCGGTGCAGTGCGACAGGGACGGGCGACGGGCTGCCCGAACCGGACTCGGAGCCCGGCGGGATCCGGAACCTCAGTTGCCTGCGGGTCACATCGTATTTTTATTTTTGTTATGATTATGGAAATAAAGGCCATCTGTACACTCTCTGTATTACAGTTTCTACTAACACCATCGCTTACATCAGTCACCGGTGGCTTAATCCAGCAACAATATGTGTGCAAGTCACATTGTTAGGTTAAGTTAGGCACCTAAACGGCGGGTTCCCGCCTTGAGGTGGCGGAGGGGCTTAGTAGCCGTGGCTTGGTCCCCCACGGCGAAGTTAAGAGGAACCCACACTGGGCCGGCCTGTGGTGCAAGGCCGGCCCAGTGTGGGTCGCTCCGAGTGGGCTCATTGAGCCCACTCTGGATGCGTGCTGGGGGGTGCAGGGGACACAGGTCGAGGGTGGTAGAGGTGGAGCCACTCTCCCTGTCTTCTGCTACCGAGGAGGAGTCGCGGGGGATGAGGAGTGTCGGTGTTGCGTTGGCCGTGCTCCCTATCCTCCGCGACTCGGCGGGGCTCCACCGCTGATGTAGCTGTGGTGGGGTCGCGGGGGGGGGGGGGGGGGGGGGGGGGGGGGGGAGGAGTGTCGGTATTGCGGTGCGCCGTTCTCCCTATTCGTAACATCGTGGAAAAAGGCACCTAAGCTGTACTTTTGCCTCGGGCACCCGCAAAATAGACGTCTTCGTATTCCCTTGTCTCCTGAATGCGATAGAGACAGATGCATTGTGGGTGTTTACGAGTCGCTTTCTGACCGGGACTCCCCAATACCAATGCCACTACTTCCCCTATCCCGAGGAAGGTTAGCTGCTAGTTTCCTAGGTGAAATTGACTTATGTTTTAAAAGCATGAATAGTAAAATTATTTCACCATTGTATGAATTAAGTATTGAACAATATCCTATGTTTAGTCTTCTCATTTAAAATAATAGTACAATATTACAAATTTAAAAAAAAAAACTTAAATTGTATAACATCAGCTTTTAAACAAAAAATACTGAACCACACAGACATGTCTGTCTGTGTGGTGCAGTAACAGCCGTCAAACTTATAACAGCCCTCGTTTTATGTCGGTGTTTAAAAAAAAAACATTTTTTTTGTAAAACGAACTTAATTAAACGTGTTTATCACATTCGGTAGGATAAGGAAGTTCTGCAAAAGTTCTAAATATAGTAAGTATATTGCTTGTTGCCGAATTTCACTCAGTTAAGTATTAAGACAGTGTAAGCCTTTAGAGTTAAAAAAAAACCTTTCAAAGGACACAGCTGTAAAGTACCAGAAACTGTTCACACCGGGACGGGATTTCTACTATGATATACGAGAAGGCTCACTTGGAATCGCTGTAACAGGTGTGGTTGCTTCCAGTCTCCAGAAGCTCGTCGTCGCTGTCGGCCAAGTAGTGGGAATCTACTGGAGACGCCGCGTCCCTGCCCAGTACTTCGTTTCTCCGGTTCTGATGACGAAAGGTCGTGCAAATGGTGAAACCGTTTGTGGTTTTGACACCGACAATATCATCATTAATCATAAGTACAGCTAAAATGAAATAAATTGTCTTCATTCAAGATCGCAAATAACATTAGCTTTTGGTGCGAATCACACGAGCAGTTTGCAGAGCATTTCGGCCGGTGCAAATCTTCACATACCTTCGAAATATTTTTTGTTATTATCTCGAAAATATGCAGGTTGCCTCAGGACGTTTTGCTTCACCGCTAAGCACGTGATAAGATAGCACTTAAAAGTAACCATTTTATTGGTGTCGGCACCGGGGGGTCGAACTCGAGCCGCGCTCGGACAATGAGCTATCACAGACTAGTTAAGGTTATGTTAAGATATGTCCTTAAATATTTGTTTATTGATGTCCTTTGTGGGTAGTTCGAAGCCGTTCCTTGTGGATCGGCAGCCGGCTCCTATTTCTTATATCTTTTTTTAAGTATTGCCTTTACTGTAGGATAACATTATCCTGTCTTGTACATACATTTCACATGTACAAACACCCAGATCTGAAACAATTATCTGTGGGTCACATAAATTGTTGTCTCATGTGGCAATCGAAACAATACTACGGGTGTTGCAAATGTCCATGGGCGGCGGTTATCGCTTAACATCAGGTGAACCGCCAGCTCGTTTGCCACTTGCTCACATAAAAAAAAAAGCTCTCTCTCCGGTCTGCACCTTGAGGATGCTGTGCGGGGTGCCGGCGCGGCTTTCTTCCCGGCGGGGGCTGTTCGCCTCGGGCATGTCGAGCAGCGCCGCCATCTGCTCGCTCAGTTGGCGGCTGGCCCGGAACGTGCCACGCGGGCTGCCACCGCCGCCACCGCTGCCACCGCTGCCACCGCCGCCACCGCTGCCACGCCCGACAGGGCTGCCGGCCGGGTGCCTCGCCCGCTTCGCGGGCGGCGTCTCGGCCATTTCGCGCTCCGCCGAAAAGAGGCTGCAAGTAAGTGCATTATTGCATGCATGTGCGTTAATTTAAATTGTCTATTGCGACGACAGTGCAACAGAAACGAACCCACTAACCCCGGCTCCGAAACCAATGGAAAAGTAACTGTGCCAACGAATAAGTATAATGAAGGAAAATAATAAAGGCTATTTATAATGCAGAGAGTATTTACCTTTTGGTGCGATTTAATTTCGGCGTGCAAATGAACGGAGTGTCCTCGATTTCCAACGCCCGCTTGAGTCCCTTCCTCAGTTTGGGCTTGTTGATCCACGTTTCACTTGCGTTCTCGATTGTGTCCTGATTGTGCGAAAAAACAATGTATATACAATACTTTGAGATTTTCGTCGGTTTGGCAAACAGTCGTTTAGTTTAGCGGTTAAAGCGTCTAAAAGCGTCGAGCGTAAATTTTTCGTCCATTAGAGCTTCGAGCGTAAATTTTTCGTCCATTTTTATCTAAAAATTTTCAAAGGTCAAAAATGATTAGATAAAAAAGAGCCCGTGAGTGTAATTGATTTTAATTTGTTAAATTTTAACATTAAAATTATGTAATTTAAAAGATTAAACTTAGTAATACGCACGGGAATTCGATAGATAATTAAAAAAAATCAATTAATTAGGTATAAAGTAATAGCCTATGATGTCCCACTATAGGGCAAAAGACTCCTCCGTACTGAGGGCATTAGGGCATAGTCCACAACAACCCCCCTGACACTAATAACATTTCGATAATATATATTTCCTCACAAACTTTGTTCACGTGTCCAGAAAATATGTAATGAAATCAAAATTTTTCATTGATTGTTTGTTGTGTAAAATCTATTCAAAACATATAATAAATAACTAGTTATCAGTTACCTGAATGAAGGAAGATTTGTATGTGAACGTGTTCTTAGGTGACTTGGCTTTAACGTAAACGGACATCGGTTTTGGGACAATCACTGAAACAAATTTTATAATATTTAAAGTCTGGTAATAATTTTATCGAGGACAATGCCCTGTGCGTGTTACCTGTGAAGTCTCCAATGTTGCATAATTGAACGTCACATGGAGCTGACAAATATACTAAGCAAAAATTAAAGATATATTATAGCATCGTTTTTCGCGACAGTACACCATCGCTTATTAGGAAAAATTTAGTAAGTCGCGCGAACGAGAGAGCAATACTCCCCACAGCTTGTTTTATATCTTGAAACATTATGCTGCGCATTGGATTTCTATCGGTCTTATTCTACGTGTGCCCATCAACAAGTCTCAGCCGTTCGACCGCTAAAGGATAAGTCGAATGTTATCATGTTGTATGCAGTCATAAGAAGCAAATAGGGGGGAAATTACGTAAAATGTAGCAACGGACGATTGATTCAGCGCTTCAGCTGATGATGGCGTTGGCCAGTGCTTTTAACTTTGACAAGACTTCTGCAAAGATTTCACCATACGGTTTGAGTGCTAATGTCAGGGCTGCAGCAGTCGCCAGCACAGAGGCAAACATCCAATGATTCAAGACAAAGCGCTGCAGCGCCCGAGGGCGTAGGGGGACACTCGAGCAGTGTTCGAAATTGGAATAGTACCGTGCCGCTCGAGCTGCATGCCAAATGACATGAAGAAACTACCAAGAGTCAGCAATGCAGCAGCCGACAGCAGAGGCAAAGAATCTACTGGTACGAGTACAATCGCCAGCATTGCAGTGGCTAAGAGTGCTTAAGCAGCAACTGTGACTAATCACTAATCAGCGCTGCAGCAGCCGCCAGCACAGAGGCAAAAAAAAATCCAACCACTCAAGAGTAAGCGCTGCAGCGCCCGAATGCGTGGAAAATTTCACGCAGTGTTCGAAATTCGAATCGTATTGTGCGGCTCAAGCTGCATCCCGAAGAACTAGAATCAGCACGGAAGGACGCTAACAAATTTCAGCGCTGCAGCAGTCGATAGCGCAGAGGCAAACATCCTACCACTCAAGAACCAGCGCTGCAGCGCCCGAGGACGTAGGGGCGGGGACACAGTGTTCGAAATACGAATAGTACCGTGCGGCTCGAGCTGCATGCCGGCGGTGCGCGCCACGCGGCACGCGATGGACGGCAACGCCGCGCACGCCGCGCCCACCAGCGTGTCGCGCGTGTGGCACCGCTCCACCTGATCGGCGAGCGACTCAGCGGACGTGGACAGCTCCTTGGCGCGGCCGCGGCCCTCCTTCAGCTTGATGTTGTACTCCTCCGCCTCCAGGTACCTGCGGTCGGTGACATTTTTAGGGTTTTTTATTTTTTTTTATCTTGTATCTTGTATTAACTGATGTTTGTGCATTCAGTCCAGAGACTATTAAAGCTTCATCTGACGCAGAACCGGTGGGCTAGCCAGAACCCACGAGTTTGGGCCCTCCGCTGTGGGTAGGGCCGCGCATGTGCTCATGCGTGCGTTTAACTACGGCATGTCATCTAAGGGCCATCGAAGTAGCGGTGCGGACCGGGACCCCGATGGCCGTCGACTGTGTTTTTAGCTAACCGCCCTGGAACGCGGGTGTACCTTGTGTAGGCGTTGTGTTGGTCTCGCCGTGCTCGGAGGCGAGGGCGAACTAATGTGTTTGTTGCTACACTAACTGTGTGTGTAGTGTTATCCGGCGGGACCCCCGATGGTGGGTCCGACGTACATAAGTCCCCTTCCTCGACCGGGTCGATGAGCACGTTTCGCGGACGACGCTTGTTGACGCTCGCGTTTAGATCGGGTTGGTAATTTGCTGCGCTTACCACCAGAGGGTTGGGATGATGTTCGGCTCTATCGATGAACCGTTTGGTCAGGTCTTTGAAAAATTCGCGAATCATCGGGAGTCTGCAATCACTGTGCAGGTCGACGTTGCGTTGATACCACTGCGCACCGGTTGCGCGGCGGATGAACTTATTTTGCACTACTTGCAACTTGTGCAAGCCAGTAGGGTGCGTGTGGGCGAAAAGCATGCATGCGTAGGACATGATTGGCCGTACGCAAGCTTTGTATAAAAGTAATTTGTGTCTTAAGGACATTTTACTTGACTGGTTAGTTAAAGTGCTTAGCCGGCCGGAGACGAACGCGGCTCTGTTACGGACGTTATTAATATGCGCTGTGAATGACATACGCGAGTCGAAAGTGACTCCTAAATATTTTACCTTTTTCTCCCAAGGGAGCGGTTAGCCATAAAGAGATATTTGCCCTAGCTTTCTGCATTGGCGACGACCTTTATAAAGATGTGACGGGTAAGTACTTCGTGTGAAGTGAATCGCCACACTCTTTTCGGGATTTACTTCAATTCTCCATTTGCGGAACCAATCGCCGAGGCGGTTGGCGGCGCTTTGGAGTCGAGTGGTTAGTTGACTAAGGTTGCGGTCTGAATAAAAGAGCGCCGTGTCATCCGCGAAAAGCGCGAGATTGACGTGGGGGTCTTTTGGTATATCGCTCGTGTAGAGCGTAAAAAGTAAGGGTGAGAGGCAGGAGCCTTGTGGAACGCCAGCCGTGAGGCGGCGGCTTGTGGAGAGGGCACCTTCAACTCGATATCGAAAGGAACGGTTCGACAAGAAGGCCTGAATGGTGTGTACAAGCCTGTCTGGCACTTTGAGTGAGAACAGCTTGTAAATCAAGCCGTTGTGCCAGACTTTGTCGAATGCCTTTGCGACATCGAAGAAAAGAGCCCCCGTGCTAATATGTTTAGGGTGATTTAGGCCTTTTAGGATATGTTCCGTTAGGCGGTATAATTGATCGGGACAGGAATGTCTTGCTCGAAAGCCGAATTGTTCCGCCGGCAGAAGGCCATTGGATTTTTTTTATAGTGCTAATCTCTGCACTTAACATTAAACATTAAAATTTTAAAACGAAAAGATTTTCACCGCTGTGGGAATCGAGCCCATGTCTTCGGAAAGCCGAATTAGAGTTCCGTACCCAAAGGGTAAAACGGGACCCTATTACTAAGACTCCGCAGTCTGTCTGTCCATCTGTCATCAGGATGTATCTTATGAACCGTGATACTTAGACAGTTAAAATTGTCACAGATGATCTATTTCTGTTGCCGCTATAACAACAAATACTAAAAAACAGAATAAAAAAATATTTAAGCGGGGCTTCCATACAACAGACACGATTTTTTTTGTCGTTTCTATAGATAACGGAACCCTTCGTGCGCGAGTCCAACTCCCACTTGCACGGTTTTATTTTTCTATGTGAAAAGTCGTCAAGCGAGCAGGCGGTTCAGCTCATGTTAAGTGACTATCAACGTAGCCATCTGCAACACCCGAAGTATTCTAGATGCGTTGAGAACCTTTTAAAATATGTCCCACGGTCCTCACTCTCCAGACGAATCGCGAAAGTATAATACTTATAGATTTCACGCCGGACTTCTGTGAGGCCATGGTACTTTCCCGGATGCCAATTCTTGCAACAGTAAAGGCTTTATATAATTATGCCCCATTGCTAAACAATGGCCTTTGTACGAAGGGTATAGTGCACCACGCGACCCCACTGTGGATTGACTTCACATATCTTAGATAATTTTTGTTTTTCTAATTAATTAGAAAATATGCAAGTTTTCTCTAGATGTTTTCCTTCATGACGAGCATGACATGTTGGCCCTCAATTGCAACTAACAATTCCAATAATGCCGGCAGTGGCGATGATGTAATTTAATGGGATCGCGAAAGTTATCAATCGCCTAGAGCTAGAAAAGAAAATTTTTTTTAAACTGAATCTTAGAAATATTTAAGAATTTCTTTAAAGCTCACCTTGCCTGTTGTAGATAGTACATGATAAGTATATCCGACGTTTGCGCATCATTGCAGTCTTTTAAATATTTTATGAAGACTTCCTCCTCCGTTGGTAACAGTGTCGCTTGAAGAATTTTGGCCAGTTGGCCTGTGTTACGGCAACCTGTATTTAAAAAAAAATTTGGACTAGAATGAAGTGTTACGGATTATGTTTTGGTATGATATTAACGGTGGTGAAGCATAACTAATGCTGTTTGAAAATATAAAATTTATAAATTACTTTTAATTAAATTAAATTTTAGATAACTCGGTGGCGGTAGCTCGGTAGCTTCGATTCTGACACAGGAGGAGTATTTGTGTGGACCATAGATAATTGTTCCGAGATAATTGTACCTGGGTGTTTGTTTGCAAGGATGATTGGCCACTAATAACACGATTCAAGTTATGTTTCAAACCCACATACAAACACATTACAGAAAAAAGATGGAAGAAATAGAAGAAAACAATTTGCCTTTTTACTATTGCTAATAAGCATGTGTTTTTCCCTTAAAGCGTAAAAAAACTGTAGTGGTCAAACTAGACTCCAAAGAGTTAGTAACTCATTCATGTTTATACAGGGTGATTTTTTGGATGAAGTACATACGTTGAGATAATGTTATTTGGGCATTCCATAATTGAAATATTAACATTTTATTTTGACAAGAAATTACCAGATAAATATCAATTCAAACATTGTTTGTTTATCCCGTTAAGAGTGGTCACCCTACTGATAAGCGGTTTAGTACTTATGCGTTTAGCAAAAAGTTTTAGTGCCCGTGAATAGGTCATTGTATTAAGACAGTAAGGCAGGAATTCCTTAAGGTGTCCATAATGTTTGAAAAAATTAGAAATAATATTTAAAAAAAAAATGAGGTCACAAGTACCAGATTCAGATTTAGAATCGAATTCTGCATATACACTGTTAATATGTCAGTCGTCTATAAAATCACACTGTATTGTACTATGCCACGGTCATCAATTAGAGGGATTAATAATCGGTGTGTACCTTTGAAGAAGAAATTGAGCACTTGCACCCTCTCCTCGTCAGAGGGGGCATTCTGCACTTGCACCCTCACGACGTCCAGCGCCTCGAAGAGCAGGCCCCTGGCGAGGTAGAGGTCGCAGCAGGGCCGCCAGTCGTCCAGCTTGTCGCGGGCCGCGCGCGCGTTGCCGCTCCTCCCGCTATCGCCGTCCCTGTCGCGCGCGGGCGCCGGCTTGCGCACGTGCAGGTACTGCAGCGCCGCCTGGCTCTTCTTCTGCGCGAGCAAGGAGGACAGCACGACGCTGTGCTGCCACTCCGAGAGCGTGTTGCCGCTCAGACACTGCAGCTGGTCCAGCGCGAACTGAAAGCGGAATGTCAAAATTTGTAGTTAATTTACGGATGTTCAAGTTTACGTTGTAGTAATACATTAAAGTAAAATAACAGCCTATACAGGGTGGCTTTTATAAAGGTGCCCAAATTCACACAGCAGGTTCAGACTCGGTAGTGTAATCGTTTATTGAAATTAAAACAAACTATTTTTTTTTCAAAATAATTTCCATTCCCTATAAAACAGAACTTGTTGACAATGCGGCAGTCATTCATAAATGCGTTGTATACTTTTGAAACGAACTTGTGTGCGTGTTAGTTATGAATAATCGCGCGTAAAATAAATAAGTTGTCCATAAATCACGCACTTTTTGAGATAAGTTCAAATGAATGTTTTTAATTTATTACGAGTGATTTTAAATATTTATCATTTTTTTATAACATTATTTAAGTCTAGAATTTAATAAAAAAATGGATACTCTTAGAAAAGCCTCCCTGTATGTGCCACTGCTGGGCAAAGTCCTCCTTTATACAGAGGGCCCTACCGTTGGCATAGTCCACCACGCGACCCTAGCTAGGAAATATTTTTTATCGTTATTTAAAAAAGTATGTAGTTGTAGTTGACACATCTTGAATATAAATCTCTTACAGAGCATTCGATGTGACTCCAATATGTAGATTTATATAGTCATACTTACGTCGAAATCTCTATGGTCCAGATGCCAGAATGCCTGCGTAGCTTTGATTGCGGTGTTGCTTAGTCCAAACATGGTCGGGAACTGCATCAGTCTTCGGATTATCGCTTCGTATCTACAAAAGTAACGAAAAAAATACTCTTAAGAAACCTTGGTCCAAGTGTTAACTTTTTGTAAAGAGATCATTATTAGTATACAGCCAATGCCAGTTAAGTACACCCAAAAGAACAAACTAAAATAAATCTAAACAAAACAAATTAAAACAAAATGTATATTTGCACACATTTCAAAATTATTATTTTGTTGCCAAACTACAATGGTTTCTGAATAAAGATTAATATTGCTTACCTTGCCAAATTAAAAAAAATATATATTGCTTACTATGCAAAATACATTGAGACGTTAACTTACTTTAATACAAGGCAGATACAATATGAAAACCAGAAGAAAGTTTTTTACACACATTTATTTTGATCGTAAAATCTCCGTACGCTATGATAATGGAATAAAAATAATATCTAATGTTAAGCAAATGACATTCACCTCATGTCGTCATACAGCATTGAATAGTCTAACAGCAGGTAGAGAACAAGAGAATGCTTGTGTTCTTCGGCGATATCCGGAAGCAGATAGAGTCGGAGAAGGCAGTAGAGCGATGGGGGTGGGTACAAGCCTCCGCATTCGCTGCCACCTTTCAGCCACATCCTGTAAGCAAAATTCCAATAATAATAAAAAACGTGTTTACGTAACTTATGTACTGAACACTATACGTATACTTAACGAACGCAGTAAGAAGTTGTACTTCTTCTGCATAACAAAAGAAATATAACTAAACATTTTTTCCCGCAAGGTAGCTTTATTTATGGTAAATGTGAACATTAGCAATCTAATATATAAAATTCTCGTTTCACGGTGTTTGTAACTGAACTTCTCCGAGACGGCTCGACCGATTTTCGTGAAAATTTGTGTGCATATCGGCCAGGGTGGAGAATCGGACAACATCTATTTTTCATGCCCTTAAATGTTAAGGGTGGTCCACCCCAAATACTTTTTTCTACCCTACAAATACCCTAAGGAATTCTTAGGCATAATTTATACGGCGAGACAACGTTTGCGGGTCAGCTAGTTTATTATATTAATATTTTAGCTTTTTGCCACAATATTGTACGTACAATATAAAATACTTTGTAAACGTGGAACTTACTGATGCACTCTCTGCCCTCCAAATTCATGTTCCAAGAGCTGATCAATGTACAGAAGCGAACATGATTTCTGGGCGGCCTCCTCGTCTTGCGGTGCATTGTTTTGTAAACGATGAAGCTTGAGACGCCTGCAAAAATAAATTATTTTAATACTATTAAACTTAAGGGGCTTATTATATTATTAGGATTAAATTTTACAATGTGGTTATAATAAGAAATCGGGAATCGTGACCGCAGGTACATACGCCAGTGGATTATGTGGAAGCCAAACATTGAACTACAAAAAATTTTACAGGACACCATTTGCGAGCAAGAAAGGGAGTGGATTGTCACCTTATATTTAGCCATTATCGCCCTTGGGAATCTCAAACTATTGCAGGGTTGCAGTATGTTTATTTATTTATTTATTACACTGACGCACACAACTATCATTACAGGCTGACCCAATGCGATAGTGTTGCCAAAAAATATAAAACAGTCGAAAAAAAAAGATAAAAAATAAAATCTAACAATTCCATAAAACCAATTATACCCAGTAAGACTGTAATACACACATTTTATGAGTAACATATCACGTAATGGGATACTATTACAAAATCATTTCTGTGGCATGAAAACAGGTCAATTCTGTCGAAAACCTCATTTAGGGTGAGTAGTGCACGTGTGAATGGAGCCCTAGCCGGCAAGTTAGTGCGCGCGCGCGGTATGGCAAGCAAGCGCGGACGCCGCCGCCTCCTAACGTAACCGTCGGGCGCGTTTAGTTTCAGTGCGCTGAATGCCATTGTATTATGTACCACACCACGGAGAAATTTCCATACGTAGTCGGCGAGTGCAAAGTCCCTACGAGTTTCCAGTTTGTCGTATCCTATCATATCTAGAACAAATAGTGTAGGATACGACACAGGATACAATGGATATACACCGTATAAACTTTTATATAGATACCGCGTAAATTTATCGTCATCCGGTGCCCAAATTATTGCGTTATATTCAAGTTGGCTTCTCACTAATGCGTCGTATAAGCATCTAATTGTGAACCCCTTCGTCTGCCTCAGCACGAACCCTAAATTTCAAAATGCTTTCTTGCATATCGCCGTAATGTGATTACGAAAACTAAAATCGCGGTTAAAAGTAACCCCTAGGTCTCTCTTTTCCGTGACTCGCAAGATGGGCTCTTTATTCATATTGTATTGATATTGAACCGTATTCCTAGCCTTACTAAAAGTCAGGATTGAGCACTTTGACACATTGAAGTACAATCTATTTTCTTGGCTCCACTCAACAACTTTATTTATATCGCTCTGTAATCTTTCACAGTCCGTGTGATCATTTACTGCAAGCAATAGTTTGAGATCGTCCGCAAACAACAACAATGTTGCCATCCTTTAAAAAAGTGGGCCTTCATTACCTGCCGAAACCATCATACAAATACCAGTTTGGAATTTTGAGTGGCCCTGGTCTTCGCTCGGATGAACTTATTCATTCATCTAACATCAGAAGCTGCTGGGTGCGGTACCAAAGAAGCATTTTGTCGCTCCCCAAACCTATTGTTAGCCGCTTCATTCCCATTTAACCGCTTATACAAACAACACGTGCTTCTATCACTTATAACTGTAAATTAATTTACAAGTAACTGCACCAGTATTTCGAAAGTTATGACTGGGTTGTGAAGCCTAATCCCACCAAGTAATGGGCAACTGTAAAATCAAGAAATATTTTTTTCCATATATCACACATTCCCCCATGGCGAATGTGTGATATGGCTGTATAACAAATAATTTATTCGGATTTGGGTGTTCGTCCACACTGAAATTTATGTATGTAAAAAATCTTTATAACAAAGGATAAAATTATCCTAAAGTAAGGGTTGGTTAAGGGTAGGGTTTTTATAAAAATAGAAAGGGACGGAGGGAAGAATACGAAAGATCTTCTAGGTTGCAGTGGCCATTGGGACTTACTAACCCCTTCCACACAAAATACAATACAAAGGGTCAGTTAGAGGTCACCTCTTCTTGTAGAGACCGTAGAGCTGGTCCGACGGGTAGGGCAGGACTCCGAAGGCATCGTGCCGCTCCGGAAGTAGCCCCACTCGTAAAAACCACTGCACCACTTGGAAATACAGCGCCACGGTGCCAACGCCCTTGTGCTTTTCCTCCATCTCGCTGAGGGCTGTGGATATGAAAAATGATCCCCAATGTTAGACTTTTAACACGTACATAAGTCATGTTTAGTAAAACACGAAATTACAATTTACCTCAGTTTAATACCCACAAGAACATAAATCGATAGTTTTATATAACTGCTTGTTTCACTATTAAAATAGTAAATTTATTTCCGTTCTATAAATCAAAGAAATTAACAATTAAAACAACTTAATGTTAGAGCCATAACTATACATATGACTGTTAAAAGCAAGAATTTGTTAAATATACATGAAATTATAAAATTAATGATTATTAAAATAGAAAAATGTATAAACATCGTAGAGTCAATATTATTTTAATCATAGACACTTATATAAGTGGTATGCATACATACCATCAGGTACGACTAGATTGCAGCACTTTGTCAAGATCGCATCTAAAAGGCCAGTCAATTGGGTCAATTGTTGAACACAGTACTCCAGACATCTTACTATGTTCCTAGAAATAAAGATAAAATATTCGATAAAACATTGAAGTCAAACAATTAGCATAAACATTTTATAATACTAAAAGTAATCACAATATACAAGTATCTGACCTATCAGGCAATGTAGACGAAGTAAATAATGGAGCAGCCAGCTCTTTCGCATTTTCTTTCAGTTCAATAGCCCGTTTCCAGCACCAGTCAACCTAAAATCCCAATATAAAACTTGTTATAATTGATGAAAAAAATAATGGTACTGCATTTGTTTCTCTTATATGTATACCAAACTATAACCAAATTAGCCTTTATCATTTAATGATAAAGGCAATAAATTAAATTTTGCGATATTTATTAATCAACAGAACAAATAAAAATTAAATTCTGTATACACAAAATACAAAAATCATTTTATATTTCGATTATATTTTTTAGCGCTCGTTTGTACTGTCTCTCATTAAAAATATTCATCATTGAATGTTATTTGTTAAGTGTTGTATGCTGTAAAGGATGCACATTAGATGCTTGGCGATTGCTAAAAATGCGAATGTAGATCGGTAGTTGTCAAGATTTTCGGAACGTGAGGTCATTGGCCCAGTCTAGTTGGTAAAGCGTCTGGGCGCGAAACCAAAACGAACGAAGCGCGAACAAAAATGTACAATTTAAAGTTCCTACTGTGTTTGCATTCGAAAAGAAACTTGAAATGTGTTCAAGCCTGCGTGTTCTGGGCATGTTATCTGGAAGACGCAAGTTCCAATCCCGTAGCGTGGACAACTTTTGTCCAATTATGTACAAAAATCGGTTTATCGGTGATAGGGCAGCCTCGGCTGTTGCACGAATGGACAGGCCCGTCCGGGTAAGTACCACGACCTCACAGAAGACCGGCGTAGAGTGGAAATATAATACTTTCGCGTTTCGCATGGTAAGTGAAGTATCCGGAACCGAATTTTCAAAAGGTTTTCGACGCATCTGCAATCCTCGGGTGTAGCGGATGTCCACGGGTGGCGTATTGGTATTCATTTAACATCAAGTGAACCACCTTCACATTAAAAAAAAATTCACATTTTCAAGAAATTAAAGTTAAATATCGTAAAACTAATGGGGAGTTTTTTTTTTAATAATATACATTTTACAGATTCACATACATACAGATTTGTGTTAACTAGCATTCAGCATTTATATAGTAAAACTCGCCTTTATTTCATTAAAAATCATCACTTTTGGAAAAGATGATTCTCATAATTAGCAAATTTTTCATTGACACAACCTGCAGAACAATTGTCTAAGTGACACAAGTTTAATTCCAGTCCAGGAATCAAACCAACAGCTTGGGATGTCTAAGCCTAATACTGAACCAATCCAGCCAAGCTGTTCAGATAATCCCGATATAACATTGCATATACTCACAAGAAAGTCCAGGGTGCAACCCAGACCGCTGTGGGTGCCAGTGGCCCAGTCATGAGCGCAACGCTTCAAGAATCGCGACAGCCTCGCTTCCAGCGCCACTGATAACAGAAATCTACGTTGCTCCTCCTGAAAATCCAAATACGTTCCAAATTTATTTGTATTTCGCGTGGAAGGGGTTGGGTAGTAAATCCCAAAGACTACTGTGACCTAGAGATATCTATAGTAGTCTTTCGTACGAAAACATGGCCCCCTTACTGTAGGATAACATTATCCTGTGTTGTAAGGATGTATTACATACACAAATTTCATATAGGCAAACAACCAGATCCAGAAACAATTCTCTGTGAGTCACACAAATAATTGTCTAGTGTGGCAATGGAGCACTAGACCCCGGCGCCGAAGCCGAATTTCTTTTTTAATGTTGTAGGGGGCATAAAAATTAATTCACTTATATTTCTAACTTTAATATTATACAAGTTATGTTACATACACAAATATCTTGTTTTAGTTCGTGAATAAATTAGGATTGTCTACCAACCTGACTGACATTTCTCTCATACGAATGTGTGTAGATATCAGCATATAGAGGTGACAGTCCAGCTGTCACGCAGGCATGATAGAACCTCGCGGGGGAGAGCAATGACGTAGGCCCTGCCTCATCAATAGAGTTTATGATTTGTCGTTGCACACCAACGGTACGGAGAACATTTACTTCTGACGTGTTCAGGCATATGCAATCTATGGACAGAGAAAATTTTGTTAATGTTTAAAGATCAATATAGTATTGCAGCATTTTTAACGGTTATTTTTACATGTGTCCATTTTCTTTAAATTGTCAAGTGCTTTTTGCATGTCTGATATTTAGATATGTTATTCAAATTAGATTTTCATCCTAAAGATGTCTTTACTATGATTGAATTTTGATAATGAGATTATTCAGTTAATTCCTATATAACATGGCAGTTTCATTTGTATTTTTGTATGGTAGTTGGGTAGTAAGTCCCTATGACCACTACAACTAAGAATATTTAATAATTATTTTGTAGTCAAGAAGACTTGAGAACACTGCCCCTTACTGTGTGAAAATAACATTATCCAGTGTGGTAAGGACATTTTCCATAAATAAATTTCATGTGGACAAGTACTCAGATAAGAAACAATTACGACTCACTCTGAAACATATACTTTGGCAACTGCGCCACGGAGTCGTCGATGACCTAATAATACTCACTGTACTGCAGGGAATTGGGAAAAAAGTGCTCCTCGAGACGTGTGGCATGAGAGTAGGGAACTACTGAGGCAGGGTGCAGTCGAGCGTCCAATGCCAGCCTTCCAGAGCCCAAGGCAGCCAACCAAGTCACACTCATAAAAGCGCTGCTCTCCAAACGGTATGTTGCTAAAATTAAATCAACACAAAGGGTGGGTAGGGTATTATGATAAAGTTGGGAAAATTTTTAAGTTTTATTAATAGCAATTTAGTAACACCATAAAATTTGAATTGCATACCTGGCATTTGGTCTTTATACCATTGATCTAAGTCAAATAACAGCATCCCATATTGGGCAGCAGTTGTGGCATTTTCACCCCAACATTCCCAAACTACTTGGCAAATATTAAGCATCGCTGAAATTAGTATTGTTTACATAAAATATTAACAAAATGGTTCATAGAGTAAGACAATATTTTAACATTAGTTTAACAATCTAGTACCAGTGATTAGGTATGAAATTTGTGGCTTGGATTCTTTTGTTACTAGTAAGTATGCCTTGTAAGGTCAAATACAGGATCAGTTATGTTCATTTCTGCAGGACCTTCACTTAGCAGCTTAGTGCCCAGTTTCTGAAACACTGCTCATCTTAAAAATTAACAAATCAGCAGTCATTTGACAGCTGATTAGTTCTACGATGATCAGTTTCAGAAACCGGGCATAAGTATAGTTTTGAATATTATACATCTATTCATATATGCATGTAAACTATGAAAGTAACTTACTATCTTCGCCTTCCTCTCCCAAAGGTGATGCAATAGAATATGTATGACAAGAGACGCATCTGCCACCAAGAAGGTAGTTGACATCCTCTGAAGCACTTAGCTCAACTTGAAACCGAATTGTAGCTGAGGAAAAATCCTATGGAAAAAAATATAAAACAATAAAAAAAGAGCAGGCTTGGAAGAATGGGAAATGCTTTTTTTACCTTTAAATATTTATAGAAATACCTGATATAAGCACTTTGTTTCTGACAGTATCCTTTTCCCTTGGTATGTTAATGAGTACATCACTGCCAGTGGAAATTCTTCTTCCTCAAATCTATCTATTACTGAGAATACAACCCATAGGTAACAAAATGCTCTAGGGTCATCACATGGCTCCTTAAATATACCAAAAGATAAAAATAAAAATAATGTTCATTAAAGATTTTAACATAAATTTTGAATAAACATTTCCTGAAGTACATGAACTATACAGATTATTAAAATCTAAGAAGTTTACATTAAATGAGATAAAATTCAAAATAGTAAAAATATATAAATAAAATTGAAGACTGTCTACAAATTACTAACATTTCTTCAATATAATTCATAGCAATATTTTTGCTGAAGTTTCAAATTCATAACAGATACTGACCTGAAATCCAAAATGAGTGACAGGCAAGCAGTCAACGTTAACTTGAGAAGTAAATTCTAAGTCCAAATTCAAAAGATTCCAAATTTGGAAGGCCCCAAAATTATAACCAACAGCTAAACTTCCTAATTGCGGTATATACTGTAAACTTGTCACTCGTATATGATCTCTCTTGGCTTTCATTCTGACAGTACCCTCTGGATTACGAAAAATGTACTGCCCTTCAAACAGGGAGTCTTCATTCAATATAACACCTAAATGATCATCATTTTCTATAGCTAAATCTCTTTGTTCATCAATTTGATGTAAATTCTTTAAAGGCAAAAATTTTATGTTAGTTGCATTATCTTCATTTAAGACTAAATGCTCATAACCTTGTGAAATGTCTTTTAATGCTGAAAGAACAATTTTGATTTATTAATATTAACATCAAAAGTAAAAAACAATAGTGAAATGATATGTTAATACATTTAACACTAACACACCATCATAAAACACTATAATACAATTTTTTGAGAAAACCAAGGAAAAATTGATCAAAAATGAGTAACTATATTTTTTACTGCCCTTCTTTTAACTAATCTCCAAGTACTTTGTTAAGATTTAATTTATCTTGAATTTATAATGCTGGTTGTTACACAACAGGGAAAAATACACACCTTGAATCAAACTAGCTCTGTTCAGATCAAAGACTAAAATCTCGCCTCTTCTAGTTCCTGCAGCAACTATATTGTCAAATGCCATAAATGGTCCTTCTGGTGTATCGTCACATACAGCCAGTTCAGTAATAACAACTTCAGTCTGTATGCAACGGAGAATCTGCGATCCATTGACATGTAGTACACATATCATACCAGAAACATTATCATAATCTAAGCTTATTAGAAGCTGATTGGAGTTATCTGTCAATGGTGTTGGAAGTTCCACAACACTTGTAACTGTGATGCGGCTGTTGCTAAAATTTTAAATAAATAAATAAAAAAATAGTTCTTGTACATTAATGGGGAATGAGCAGTTGGATTTAAAACTGCCTTCACAATTTATTGTTAAAATTAATATTTCGATCTTAGTGTCAAGTCTGGCCATGAGATCATGGCATTCTATTACAAAAATAAAATGGTGTTTGGTTTCAATAACATTATGTGATGAATGATGATGATGTACATTTTGATCCAAAATGTACTTCACATAAGTCAGGAATGCAAAAGATTTTTACAGGGGAAGTTTCCTTATATTGCTTAGAAATGTATATAATAAATGATAATGGCAGAATTGTAGCAAATATCAGGTTAAGCATTTAAGACTAAAGCGTAGGTGCAGCAATGACGTAATAACAGAATTACCTCGCACTAGAACCAAAAGTGCGCGCCGCAACTTTCAGCCCGCTCCTAAGATCGACAACGCAGAACTTAGGACCAAGCGCTAACCATCCATGTCTGGTATCTTTAAGAATTCCGCCCAGTGGAGTTTTATCTGCAAGGATGCACATCGTTAAAAATTTAATTATAAAAATTATAAAATTATCTACCTGATATTTACCAGTAAAATCTTCGTTTGGCTGTAAGAAACTAAATACACCAGGAGCGAGGTTTGTTGTTTTAACGATGGAAAATACGCTATCTTGTAGTTTTTGCATTTTTAAACGATTTTATGATGAAGAACAAACGATAAGCGATAGAAACATTAAGAAAGGTTATCAAACATATTATAATATTTAGGGATTCGATAATGAAAAAAGACAAGCCGACGTTTATATTTTTAGTTATTTAAACTTATTATTTGTAAACTAAACATTTAGATTTGAGTGTCCACAATGCTTATTAAAATGATACATTTGTAAACCGCAAATACGGTACGCGCGGAGTTATTTTCAATTTTGACATTTTGTGACATTGACTTTACAGTGTAGAAACAGGCAGCAGGAGCGTTATCGTTAATACCGCTGTAATCCTTTATTGTATAATTTTGACATTGATGAAGTTAAAATATATCAATATCATATAAAAAGTGACTAAAATGCAACTACCAACAAATTTAGGATTGAATATACCGAAAGTTAACAAAGCTCTGAAATAAATTCAAGAATTCTTTCTAACTACAAAGTGTAAGTATGAAGCTGGCCATTTACTAAATTTGGTGATAGACTTTAAATTCCTCAAAATTTATTCTTTATGTTCTATGAAGATAATGTTAGGTCTTTTTGAGTCAGTGCACGGAATTAGAGAAACACCAATAGAAGTTTTCATAAAAAAAGCTGCCCTTGTACAAGTAAATACGAAATTCTAGTCCTTAAAAATCAATGAATGTCCAAAAAGAAAAAGCAACAATGACCGGATTCTTTTCCAAAGATTGAAATTGTAAGTTATAGAGCGTAAAGGAAGGTATGGAGCGTAAAGTCTGCATTAAAATTTCGTCTACATCAGTGGCCACGGGTTGATTATTTCATTAGTGATTTTTCTTAACCGAATAAAATTTTTGTTTGGTCGAAAACACCCCGTTACTAATGACAATATATATACATATATACATATATATATATATATATATATATATATATATATATATATATATATACATATATACATATATATATATATATATACCTTCAACAATGAGTCAGGAACGTCTATGTTGTCTCGCGATTATAGCCACTGAAAATAAGACTGCCTTTGAGACGGATTTAAATAATATTATAGTAAATTATTGGATTGAAGAAATATCGTCAAAGTCGATTGTCTTTCTTACATTAGATCCGTGATGTTCAACGTCCGGCTCGCTTTTAATTCAGTATCCTCGAAAATACTCAATCTGAGTTCAAAACCCAATGCCGACACCAATGAATTTGGTTATTGAGGTCAATCCGAGGTGAACTATGCTTTTCTGTGGACGATCTATTAATATATTTCACTTTCCTACTTATATACATTTCCTATACTAATGTACCGTATCTAACTTTACGTCATATACTTTTTAAACGATTTATCTCAAATGCTGGACATGGTATCTTTATATCAGTCTTCTTTGCTATCTTTCTTAAAATAATTGTCATAATATGTAGTTACATTGTTTATTTAAAAAAAAAATGGCGATTGTTTTTTTGAAAGCAATAACTTTGTTCTGCTTGTCTATTTTATATATCAATGTTCTAAATTCAAAAATGTTCTAAATTCTAAAATCAAAACTTATACACGAGTTGTTGACTATAGTATAATCAAAGAAAGGATGTAATAAAAGATGGGAAAAAATATTTAATGCTTTATTAAACTAAATGTAAAATAATATCTGTTTCCTATATAAATAATCCTGTACTAATTATCAGGAAATATTTCCAATATTTGAAGGTCGGCAATTAATGATGATGGTTCTACGGTGTATAGAAAAATAAAAGAAAGAATTAGGTACCTAATAACGATTGATCATACTATTTAAATGGTGTCCATCTATTTAAATATTGGAATTTTTAATGTAATCTTGTTTTATAAAATAAAATCCTTTAAAGTTGGAAAAAATTATTTAACCAATTTTATAGTATCAAAGTACGCTAGAAAATGCTTAGGCATAAGTTAAGCATGTACGGACATCCTACACATAAAATGATTTCATTAATATTTTATATTTTCTTAAATGATATAAGTATCGACAATAATGAGACCATTAACGATCACTTCGAATGAAAACATATGAAAACATACTGTTACTTATAGAACACTTCTCGTGCGTAATTAATTGTGTAGATATTATTTTTGAGTTCTTATTCACAAACAAACAAAAATCGTCAGTTTCAAGTGACATAAATATGTTAATTGTTACGGAATATACATTATATTACTTGGAATAAATTACGCACTTTGAACAAAAAAATTATTATAATTAATTACCTATATAAAACTAGGTATAAATTTGTTTCACCTAATTGGTTCCTCGCAGGGAACACAAAAAAAACTTTAGATACGTACATAGCATTGACACTTAGAAATGTGATAAAAAAATAATGTAACAATTTTATAATGAATGAAATAATAATATAGTTATGATATCGTACTTTTACGCTGAAATTGTAGCTTTAAATTACCGTACTTAGATATTACGATTGTGCAAAATATACGTTCCAGAAACATTTTTGAGCAATTAAACTTTCTTAATGCGATTGACAGATGTTACTGACACATTAACGACATTCTTGTCGCTTTCATTTGCAAGTGGACTTATCTTTATTTGACCTTGTACAATATTCATCATTGATGTGTACGGGCTATCTGGAACGTTATTTATATAATTAGAATCATCCTTAGTTTGATTATATTCAGTGCGCGGAGTTACGCTTTCATATATTGTGTTTTTCATGGATATGTAAGGTTGGCTGTCTTGAGTAGGTTTGGAACCTGGACTGAAGCCGTTCTGAGTTATTACTGGATTATTTGGCCTGGATGTTGCATTGGATTTTTCCATTTCCAAAGGCGTTTCGTTAATATCCGTTTTAGCACTTTCTAGTGAACTATTTCGTGTTACACGAAGACTATTCGATCGAGAGGAATTGCCCAGAGAATGCAGTGTTGACGTACTTCCCTTTGCGCTTTCCATTTCTTTCGCAAATACTTCTTCGCTCTTCTGGAATCTTTGAATATCTGTTGATATGGATGATATGTTTTGTTGTACAGATGATCCGCCTAAAGATCTACTAGGTGAGATATCACTTGCTTTGTCTATGGAGGTATGTTTCGTCTGAGGCCTATTTGAATTTGATCTCGATTGCGAATTAACATCTAAAGATCCATAAGCACTATCTTTAGTAGAACTGTGCTGTGAAACGTCTTCTTTCACACCATATCTCCTAGCAATATTTCCGGGTGCCACAGGTTCGATATTTTGCACGTCATAGGATAAAGGATTTTTATCTGTATGTTTTACACCTTCAATAATCTCGCCCGTTCTTGGGTTGATATGTTTTTCAGTGTCGTAACGAAGGGTCACTCTATGACTTTCATCGATAGGATGCGGTCTTGATCTATCTTCTAGTTCACCATCGCTCTCTTCAACGATACTGGGATCATAGTTGCTTTCTTCCTGAAAACGAAGTACGACTGAGTTTAACTTTTTCATAAATATAAGATTTATACTACAAAAATTATACAGGGAGGCTTTTCTAAGTGTAGCCACTTTTTTATTAGATTCTAGACATAAATAATGTTATATAAAAATATATATATTTGTGAATATATACAGTATAGTGGACTATGCAGCCGACTATAGAATTAAATTATCCAGTCAGTTAAAGTTCTTCTACGAACTAGAATAAGGTTATCTACAAGATACTCAGAAGAGGAGAGAAGTTTTTCACACACATACAGACAATAAAATATGGCTGTATAATTTATTTGTAGTAATTTAATCAAATATTTATGTCACAAGTTCATATTGTTCTGATTTTAGACATAACCAATTAATCGTGTATCACTACATAGTATAGAACAAAGTCGTCCCGCTGTCTGTCTGTCCCTATGTATGCTTAGATCTTTGCATCTTGCAACGAATCTTGATGCGGTTTTTTTTACTAAATACAGTGATTCAAGAGAAAAGTTCATATGTATAATAAATTGCATCCGTGCGAAGCCGGGTGCAATTCGCTAGTCAATTATAAATCGCTTCCTAACTTAGCTCCAGGTTAGTTATCGTGAATATCGTCTTTTTAAAAAAAAAGCACTGTGCACCAATAACTTTGACGCGGATAATTTTAAAGGTTACATACCTCTTCATCGGCTTCTTCAATAACACTGTTCTGGATCCATTCACGGATCCTCTGCTTTTTCGCTTGACGGTCAACGATTATTTCGACGCCGTTATCGCGAAAATGTTTCAATAGGATATTCTTTTCGTTCGGATCGCTGTGGTAGCTATACATAGAAGGACACAACTCATCGATATCACCACCAGCTGGAACAATAAAAGAGGTTTGTTGTTTTAGGTAGGTCCCATTTGGAGTTCAACGAAAATCAAATTAATTACAAAAACTGTCTCGGGGAATCTGTCTCTGCCCCAGTGTTTTGATTTGATATGTATAATTTTTTAAGAAATTATGTATTTTATGGTTGAAAACATGTTCAAATTTAAGACCATATTCCATTAAAGATTGACGGAATATTATTTAGCATTGGTTACGGTTAAAGAATTCTGTATAGTATTCGGAACATCAGGAGTTTCATTTTAAAATAAACATGATACAATCTGTAAAAATACTTTCTAAAATAATTAATCATTCATTCAACCAATAAATCAATATTTAAATTTGTGCTTATTTCGTTCTTAGAGCTTTTTTTTGAATTAAACAGGGGTTGCCGATGTATAAAATTTGTGAGGCTTACCTACTCGATCAGTATATCCTTTAGCCATCCATCGGTCGTCAAGATATCTAGCAATTTCCACAAAATTAGTGACCCTTTTCTCTTCTCTCGGCTCAATGAATTTTTTGAACATTTTCTGAGCCCTCGATGAGACCATTTTCCATAACTTCGGCTGTTTCTTCAATGGATTGGCACTACTGTACCAATTTAAATAACTGCGTGAAAGAAATTCATTGAAACAATGAAACATTCAATGAAAAAATTAAAAATAAAATCAAAATAGGAATCCTTTAAAGGAATTGAGCCCACCTTACATATCTAGGATCGTCGAGAGCCGCTTTCTGCCAAGGCAAACATCCAGTCAGGCATATGAAGATGACTATGCCGAACTGCCAAATATCGTGACTAATTAGTGCTCTGAAACAAGAAAAAAAACAGATGTATATAATCTTTAAAGTATGAGTTACAACAACCATTGTTTATATTCCAAAATATTTTCCAACGATTAATGTTACATCTGTGCACGTATAGTTTATTTGGACAACGCATTTAACCCATTGTTTAGCGATGAATAATAAGCAACTGGAGGTATGAAATCATAAACGATGTATTGAATATTACTTGTAGCTGCTATCCATTGGCAGTTTCAACACTTCTGGAGGCGAGTAAGGCAGCCATTCATTTCTTCTTCTAACAGCCGCTTGGACTCTTCTCGTTTCGCCGAAATCGCATAGCTTTATTCTCGAGAAGTCCGATTTGAATATAAGAATGTTGTCTAGTTTCACGTCTCTGTGCACTAAGTCCCTTTGATGAAGGTGATCTAAGGCAGCTGCTAGTTGTTTAGTCACTCTTTTCGTGTGAATCTCACCTATTCCGGTATCCAGCATATTCGATGTTAAATCACCTGAAACATTTCGGTCGATACATTAGTGACGGAGAAAAGGTTCCTAACGAAGTCTCCTTTTTTCCTTATCTGAAAAGTAAGATGTTTACTGTTTTACATTTACAAAAAGAATATTTGTAAATAGAACATCAAATTGATAGAGAATGGGGTCAAACATTGTAAACCAACATAATCTAATATTCATTGAAATAATTGTTTTGGCCGCTATCCAACGTAAAGCTAGCGGGAAACAGTTTAGTTTTGAATTTATCTTGCTCCGAGATGCGAAATTTGCAATGTAATTTTGTAAGCGAAATCACGCTTTTAGTAACGAACGAATTGTTTCAACTCGATAACTAATGCTTACCGAGAGGTGCGTATTCTTGACAAAACACATAAAATCCCGCCGTCTCGAAAGCAACGTCGAACGTAGTCACAATGTTTTTGTGCGCGCTTAAATGTAGGCCATAGTGGAATTCTCTGTAGAAATCTCTTATCGATACGTAGGGTTTGGGCAAAGCTTTCAGTACTATTTCTGTGTCTGATGCCCTGTGTTCAACTAAAAGAATCTTTCCGAACCAACCCTCGCCAACGATTTGTAGGATGTCAAACTCTTCGACCAAGCATACCTGCGGCAAAAATTCATTGCTGTACGATTTTTTTTGGTTAAGAACCAACTCAACATTAGTTAAAGAAATAACCAAACTTACTTTCTCCAATTCGAATTCTCGTATTTTGTGTATGGAGCCTGTTAAGGCACGTCTGTTGCCATTATTCATCGTCGCTTAGTTTTGTACATTACTTCATAATCTACACAGAACGGAAACATGTTTAAGGAATGTGACCTAGTCACAATATTGAATAATACATTTTAGGTGCACTCCCCGAATGAAAAAGAACCTGTCCTCCTTTCAGTTGGAATCATAGCAAATGATCTTGGACCTTTGCCAGGATTTGATGTCTACTCCAGATCCAGACAACTGTCCTGACGTCATGTGATGCCATTTGCATCTTACCCTTCATTGTCGATAGTTTGAATTTTTAAGTATAGTTTGCTTATTCGTATTGGTAACAATGTTAAGTTCACAATAGATCGTTTTATTTTATTTTATAATGAAAGAAATATAGTGGCGTATTTAATGCTGAGCTTTAATTTGTATCATCTGTATCAATCACAAATAATAAAAACTTTTAATAGGATGTTTCATGTGTTTATCCTTTTGTATCTCTTTCACATATAATTTACGCGAATGACACATTCATATCTATGTGAATAAGTTAACAAATCAGTCTACAGCAATAAATTCACACTCAATGAAAGAGAATCCGTTCCATCGTGATGTATGAAATATTTGTGTAAAACGATCATCATCTCTTCAAAATTGATGATTCTTTACTAGATTTGGAGCTTGACGTCATCGAAAGTTATTCCTTGCAGAGAAGTTGCCGTCTAAAAGGAAAATATTTTTGTATTGTTCTTTTTCATTGCATTTAACCCTTTTCATTAAGAGGTCAATGTTGAAATATTTTAGTTTTGTGCTCAGATTATAACGCTGGAGAAACTTTTGGCACCCTAATTTGATATTTCATAGACAACAGGCTTTAAACTCGAGAATTTCTGAGGCTATCCATCATATGATTCCATTTTTAGTATGGGATTGTCTTATTTGGTAAAATAGTTTGGTTAATGTGAACGTTTCTAAGGCATTTTTATGATTAATCTTATTTAAAGACCTAGTCTCTGCACACAAGATGATTTTTTTCAGTTTTTAAAAACGATATAAGTACTTAGGCAAACGCTTCGAACCTATATAATCCATTGTATTCTCATGAATACAATGCACGCTTATACGGTTTTACATTATAAAGAGTGACGAGTGACGTATTTGGTCTAAAAACAACTCGAAGGAAAGCGTTAAATACCTATCTATCTACTCCATTACAGTCAAAAGTTGTAAGAGCTTGTTTTTCTATTCTCAGGAACGTGACAGCGGATTGAAAGAACACATTTCTTTCAATGCGCTATCACGTTGTACATGAAACATTTATGTGAAATTAGATTCACTCTTACAATTACCCTTAGTGTAGCTTATTTTGAAATCAATATCGAATACAGTGCTAAACTTTAACGCTTCTATTCTTTAATATCTTAAAGAATAAAAGCGTTAAAGTTTAGCACTCGCGGTAGAATTATTCTTATAGTTAAAAAAATAAATGATGAATGACCTGGCTGTTTATTAGCTGTTGACAAATCTCTGACTCTCGTGGATACCTGTAATACCAGTGTAAAAGTGAAAGAACGAACACGTCAGCTGGTCCTTAAAAACGCAGTAGTTTTTACACAGATGTATTTGTAAGCTGAGCAACAGCAGAGGTTGTTGCGTGACTCTAGAACAGTCTTTAATTGGGTAAATTGTTTTTAAAATATTGTCATCACCTTCGCACTTAGATAATAAAGATCAGCTCATTTTGATGAGGAAAGCGCATCCTTCTTTACAGCATACGTTAACTTATAGTTATAGGCTGCATCTAAACTACGAATTTGTATAAAGCATTATCAATAAAAGCTGGAAAACATTCAGACATAATGTTTCCTCTAGTCGATTGCGGAGCAACGGAAAACGGGCCAATAACACATACGATTTATTTCGAATCGGTACTAAATAACTAAGGCAAAACATCTTTACAAGAATTTGGGCCGTTTATAAAATCGTGGAAGAACCGTAATTGTTTTAAAGTGTTCGATACACTATGTATAGCTACATATTTCAAAAGGAGAAAGTCAAAGGAGTTTATGAATTCTTAACTTGTTAGTTACACAACAATTAGTTTAGATATAGTTTAGGCAATTGCTGTGCTACTGTGCCAGTTGTTACAGTTCCATTTTGTGTAATTTTCTAATGGTTCTAGCTTATACCAGTTGCATTATGGTAGTATACTAATTTCACTCATAGTAATACTATTTTCACTCACATTCTAATTGTACAGAGGTTTTTGCACTGAAGTGTAGACTTTCAAGATTTTTCTTTAATTAATAACCAAACTAGTCATTCGCTTAGTATTTTTTTATGATTGAAATATATTAAAAGTCTATATAAACTTAATTCTATATACAAATAATTGTCAATCAATGGTTTTTATTGAATACGCTTTCTGCATAAGTATTTATCAATTGATTAAGCTTACAAGTGTTACGTGCGTGAATAATATTTGTTTTGTCTTAAATCACTCGCCGTGGACTACGAGCGAATGCACCCTGTCTGCTTACACATATAAGGTTCACAATTAACTTTGAGTGTCTCCAACCACAAGTTTATTCTTTAAATTGCATTATATTCTTGTATTATCGTTATCACGTAAATTAAATCACAACCGGGCTTGGACAAGAATCTTTGTGGGCCACCGATAGATCACGAAATAGAGATCTGTGGACAGGAATGGAACGCGATGGGACCGAAAGTACGACGGCTACTGGCTGCGCAGAGCAGCGACACCCGGGAAGCTATTTCTGTGCTGCACTGTACACATAAAAATCACTACACAAATGTAACGTTACGATCAACGACCCGATAAGCGATATTGGTTTTCGTTAATCATAACTAACATATTGGAAATATTACGTTGTACGTCTAACGACCCCTTCGGAAGCCCTCAGTTTTAGAGATCGTTTCGTTCTATTTTTAAATTTTCGCCGCTTTCCGAGAAAACTTCCTACCATGTGTTGCGGCATCTATTTGAAAATGTTTTTTTTATGATTAAATGCAAACGTGTGTGCCTAATAAAGGTTTCAACCGCATCAGGAAATGATTGCGCTGGTATATCAATTCATTCATTTGCAGCACATGGATGTTTCCACGTATACGATTTTTGTCTAAACAAGATTGAAAACTTCTTTCTTGTTTGTGTGTTGTGATTTCTGTTAAAAGCACACTGGTATTTATAAAACTTTGTTAACATCATATAATAATCTACTTCTCAGTTTATGTCAGCTACGAAAAGGTAAACATCATCAGGTTAAACTCGACGAGTTTGGTTAACTGAGTAGCCATTTAATTGCGTATTTAAAGTATGTATAAGTATGAGCCGTGATAGCTCAGTGTCCGGGCGCTCGCCTTTAATTCAATATACTCGAGCAACCTGAGTTCGATCCCCGGTGCCGGCACCAATGAAGTTTTTAACTTTAAGTGCTGACTTATCACGTGCTCCGCGGTGAAGGAAAACATCGTGAGGAAACCTGCATATTTTCGAAATAATAACAAAAAAAAATATATTTGAAGTCCGCCAACCCGCAGTGGGGCCGCGTGGTGGACTATGCCCTGATATCCTCTCTATAGAGGAGGTCTTTGCCCAGCAGTGGGACATGTATAGGCTGTTACTTTACTTTACTTTACTTTTAAGTACTTACTAATTTGATGACACTTCGGATGATAGAACACAAAGAACATGAATGACACAGGACCACCTCATAATAAGTCGATTCTTTTAGCTACAGTTGACACCTAATTCCTTTTTTCATCTTTAGTACATAATTTTCCCAGTAGAAATCTTATGCGTTAGCATAAATAACGATGGATTACCATTTTCGGTATTTTAAATCTCTTTATGTCTTATTCATTTTTAATAAATATAAATATAAATGTTGTATTTTCATATAAATATATTGAAAAGAGAGGGAGGTAAAAACATGAGAATAAAAAAATGTTCGTTTAATGTTTGAAAGATGCAGTGGCAAAGATATATTCTTCAGGTGACTTACCTTGGATCAGGTAACTGTTCTTTTGCCTCCTTTTTTATGGAAAAACAGTAAATGAATTAGGTCGTTGACTATTCTTATAACAGTTAAAGAAATTATTTAGCTTAATAAATTAATAAGTAAGACGTATTTGCAATAAAATTTCCCAGATTTCTTCTACAAGTTATCGAAACGATAAAAAATTTGAAAGATGTATGTAGGAAGTTGGCTAGGATTAGTGAGTATCTGCAAGAAACGTGTAAACAAGAGAAGTTTCTTTGAGAGCGTGTACATTTATGAATGTTTTTAAGACCACTCATATACACGTATACTGCCAGTGTGTTTCTTCGTAATTTGATGTAACGGTTTAGTATTATTTATTGTATTGATCTCTCGTGCCTTAGAATTCATTCACTGTCAATGTTGGACGCCCTCAACTCTGATATCTGTACATATCGTTTGCAAGCACGTATGTATTGTAAAGTCGCCTATATTTTTATTTTTGGCTGAAGCAAGTTCCTAGACCTCACTCTGGCATTACGCCAGTTCAATTGAAATGGTAATTGCAATAATACGCCATTTGCGCAATACAATATGTTGTTGTATAAAATGCATAATTGAATATTTGGTCTATTGATTATTCATATGTTTGGAGTGTTGTAAGCATTTGTATACAACAATGCAGTTTTTTTCTAACCTTTACACGACTCTGCTGCGAAGACATACTGACTACTGTATCATTATTTTCGATAGACTCAATTTATTAAAGTCAATCTTAGACGAAATAGTACTGAAATAAGAAATTTCTTTGTTCATTACTCAGTACATCCGATTATTTCTAATTAGACATTATATATGGCTATAAGCTACATGCATGAAAACTATGTCAACGTTCCGCACGATGTCGTTGCTACCGATGCTACCATTATGCATTGATGAATACGTTATATTCCATTGTATATAACGTATAGTGCAAGAAAATTATGTCTTATAATTTATCAATCTATATCAATTAATAAGTAACATATATTTTCTTAAGCAAGTTAA